TCAGAAACATTTGCCTTGATTTTTTGAGGCTTTACTGTCTTAATAGCAAGTTATATTTTCAGTATAAAAATGAATGGATGTCTGTAATGCAGAACATACAGTCTGATGACTGATGATATAATCACACTTAATGCTAGTGCATTTGTAGTGAGCTAAGTGGGCAGATTGCTCCTTGTTCCATAAAGAGAGATAACCAAGCTCCAGGAAAGTATCTGTGTGTCCTGGTTCAGCTGCGATAGGGTTGAGAGAGAGGGGGAAGGGATCTCCAGCCGGGTTATTCATACCATGCTGATGTCAGGTCTGGGTGCAGGAGCGCAGGCACTTTTTCCTTTGTGGATTTGGTGGTGGGGAGCACGGGGCTATCTGTATCCATTTGGTATTTCTCTGTATATCTTTTGTCTTGTTTACTGTTATTACTGTTCATTGTTGTTATCATTGCTACTGTTATTGTTCAGATTGTTTATCACACTGTTGTATTAAATTTCTTATTTTAACCTGGGGTTTGTGCCTCACTGCCAGCCTGACTGGCTGAGGGTGGGGAGGGGCAACGGCAATGTGGTCTCTGGTCCCAGCAGGTCTTAAACCACCACAATGTGAAAGGTCTATATCTAATGTAAATGCCCAAAGTCTCAGGACTGGAGTATCAAATAAAACCAGTCAAGATGCTATAAAATGTATATGTGAATATGAAGTCTTTTTAAAGCTACCTAATTACCAGAGATCCTCTTATTAAAAGTAATAAGATGAATTGAAAGTAATAATGGCTTTGTAATCAAATGTATGAATATATCTTTTCTTCATCTAGATGGGAAAAGCCTTCACAGAATCGTCTAGGTTGGAAAGGACCTTGCAGATCATCCAGTCCAACCATTAACCTAACACTGACAGTTCCCAACTACACCATGTCACTCAGCGCTATGTTGACCCAACTCTTAAACACCTCCAGGAATGGGGACTCCACCACCTCCCTGGGCAGCCCATTCCAACACCTAACAACCCCTTCTGTAAAGAAATGCTTCCTAATATCCAGTCTAAACCTTCCCTGGTATAATTTGAGGCCATTACCTCTTGTTCTACTGCTTATTACTTGGTTAAAGAGGCTCATCCCCAGCTCTCTGCAACCTCCTTTCAGGGAGCTGCAGAGGGCGATGAGGTCTCCCCTCAGCCTCCTCTTCTCCAGACTAAACACCCCCAGTTCCCTCAGCCGCTCCCCGTACGACCTGTGCTCCAGACCCTGCACCAGCTTCGTTGCCCTTCTCTGGACACGCTCGAGTCATTCAATGTCCTTTTTGTAGTGAGGGGCCCAAAACTGAACACAGGAATTGAGGGGCGGCCTCACCAGTGCCGAGTCCAGGGGTCAGATCCCTTCCCTGTCCCTGCTGGCCACGCTATTGCTGATACAAGCCAGGATGCCATTGGCCTTCTTGGCCCCCTGGGCACACTGCTGGCTCCTGTTCAGCCGGCTGTCAATCAACACCCCCAGGTCCATCTCTGACTGGCAGCTCTCCAGCCACTCCTCCCCAAGCCTGTAGCGCTGCTGGGGGTTGTTGTGGCCCAAGGGCAGCCCCTGGCATTTGCCCTTATGGAAACTCCTCCAGTTGGCCTCAGCCCATGGCTCCAGCCTGTCCAGGTCTCTCTGCAGAGCCTCCCTACCCTCGAGCACATCAACACTCCCACCCAACTTGGGGTCATCTGCAAACTGACTGAGGGTGTCCTCGATCCCCTCGTCTAGATCATCAATAAAGATGTTAAACAGGAGTGGCCCCAAAACCGAGCCCTGGGGGACACCACTCGTGACCGGCCACCAACTGGATTTAACTCCATTCACCACAACTCTTTGGGCCCGGCCATCCAGCCAGATTTTACCCAGTGAAGCGTGTGCCCATCCAAGCTGTGAGCAGCCAGTTTCACCAGGAGAATGCTGTGGGAAATGGTGTCAAAGGCCTTACTAAGGTCAAGGTAGACAACATCCACAGCCTTTCCCTCATCCAATAAGCAGGTCACTCTGTCATAGAAGGAGATCAGGTTTGTCAGGCAGGACCTGCCTTTCACAAGCCCATGCTGACGGGGCCTGAGCATCTGGTTGTCCTGCACGTGTTGTATGATGGTACTCAGGATGAGCTTCTCCATCAGCTTCCTGGGCACTGAAGTCAAGCTGGCAGGCCTGTAATTGATAAGGTTTTATCTGTTTCCATTTTTCTATACTGAATTTTCATCTACCACTGTTACGTAGTTGTTCAGTCTTGGAAGGTTCAGTAATTCTTTGTGTTCTTTTAGTATTGGGCCCCTCACTACAAAAAGGACATTGAATGACTCGAGCGTGTCCAGAGAAGGGCAACGAAGCTGGTGCAGGGTCTGGAGCACAGGTCGTAGGAGGTGCGGCTGAGGGAACTGGGGGTGTTTAGTCTGGAGAAGAGGAGGCTGAGGGGAGACCTCATCGCCCTCTACAGCTCCCTGAAAGGAGGTTGCAGAGAGCTGGGGATGAGCCTCTTTAACCAAGTAATAAGCAGTAGAACAAGAGGTAATGGCCTCAAATTATACCAGGGAAGGTTTAGACTGGATATTAGGAAGCATTTCTTTCCACAAGGGGTTGTTAGGTGTTGGAATGGGCTGCCCAGGGAGGTGGTGGAGTCCCTATCCCTGGAGGTGTTTAGGAGTCGGGTCGACATAGAGCTGAGGGATCTGGTGTAGTTGGGAACTGTCAGTGTTAGGTTAATGGTTGGACTGGGTGATCTTCAAGGTCTTTTCCAACCTAGACAGTTCTGTGATTCTGTGAACAACTTAGTTCAGTCTGCAGATGTTACTCTCACAGCTTTTCTCTTTTCCCCTCAACTATGTGCAGGTGTCTGCAGAGCTCCACTTACCACCTTACACCTGTTGCTATAAGAATTATTAATTTTAATTCCTATCTTCCTCTTAACAATTATTCAAATTCTTTATCTATGAAGGGTCATTTCTCTTACATTTTTCCTAAAAGCATTTGACAATGGATCTTTCTGAAAGCTTTTTGCAAATCCAGGTCATTTTGATAAATCTTCTTTACTCTGATGCTTATTAACCCCTTTGGTGAACTTCAGCAGTTCATGATGAGTGTTTCTCCCTTTCACTGAAACTTTGTTGACTTTTCCTTGGGAAGTTAAATTATTTGAGCTGTCTCTTAGTTCTTTCCTTTATTATAATGCCTGTTATTTTACTTAGACAGGCTTCCTCATCAATTGTTTCTCATTCATCTATCCCTGAAAGTGTGTATTTTTTAAGCCAGTGATCAGTCCTCTGATACCAATGCAGAGTACATGTTGCATTAAGCAGTTTAGCTCCTTTTTCTTTGTGTTCCCTTAGAATTTTTTGGATGACTACACATCTGATGCATTACTTAGCACTGATTTAAAAATTTTATTTTTTTGGCCACCTCATAAACTTTTCTTTTGAGTTTTAATGTGTGGGTATTTAACTGGGAGGTTCCTACGAAGGAAATACTGAACTCTTGTGCAGAAAAAAATATAAAAAAAAATCAGTGCTCTTCTATTGCATTCTTGCAATATGATATTGGGTTTTTCTTCCAAGACATTCTGAGGTGTTTCATACTTCTGTGATGCACTGTGAAAAAAACCTCATTATCAGCACTTTGCATTTCTTATTAGCTGTTATTCAGACTGCTTCACCTTGCCTTATTACATCTTTGTCTAAGCTGTCATTCATGTGGATTCTTTTCCTTATTGTGATTCTAGCTTTTTGGAGGAGTCTTCTTGCTTTTACTCCTACTGTTTATCTATGCTGGCTGGCTTATGCTTTTCCTCAAGTCTTTCTTGGTAGAAGCTGTGAAGTTACTCTGCATTTCCAGTATAGTGTTCTTAAATAGATGGCACATTGTCTGCAAAGACTTCAGTCTTTTGACTGCTTTCTACCTTCTTATTTTTAGTGGTTCCTCATTTTGAAGTAGAATTTGACTGCATGGCATTTATATTTTTTAACTTTTGTTAGTGCTGTGAGTTGTGAATCTTGTATTTAATTCCCTCCAACACTAATGTTTTGAACCTGATATTGTGCCCTTTTAGGGATGATGTAGAAGTCACTTGCCCTTCTGTATGTGTTGTTTTTTATGATAAACTTTCTGTAACTCTTAATGATATCTAAAATATCTACTATCACAATCTGAGATGGTGTTTCCCTAGTGTACACAGAGACAGCTGAAGTTGCTGATACTGTTCTCTGCTATGGGGGCCCCTCTCATCACTGTCAGCATGTCACAACCAATACTTCCATCCTAATCAGGCAGTCAGTAATAGCATATGCTATGTCTGTCTTGTTTATGTCTGAAACTTCTTTCCATTTGGCTCTGGTGGACTTGCTAAGTTGTTTGAACACTGAGCTCTTTTACAGCAGTGTAGGCTTTTCCATGTTTCCTGTATAGTAAATACCTTGATGTATGTCACAAGGTACCAGTGATACCTTCCTTTTGATGAGTTTCTAGTGTTATTGTAACAGAAAGGTCTTTCTTCAAAGATAGCATCCCAGCTACCCCAACTTTGTGTCTAGGACCTCTCCTGCTTAGGTAGGAACAGGCATATAGTTTTGGATTTCTGTTTCCTTCCACCCTGTTCAAAGGGACAGTATCTGTTCCAGCATTTTGCTATGGTTTGCAGTGTGACAGGTGGCAGCCCCTGCTCTATTACGTTAGGGCTCCCTTACTTCATACAAGTGGCTATGTATTTTGAGTCCACATGAACTTTAGGGCCTGATAGCTTTTCCTCAGGCTATGTTTAAAAAACATCTCTCAAATCTTTTTTATGAGTAACAGCCACAAAGTTTACCTAACTTGTTACCATGTTTTAAACCTGTCAGGCAGCTGAACACCACACAGCTGCCCACTCACCCTCCCCTGCCTGGTGAATGAGGGAGTAAATTGGAGGTGGAAAGGAAAGGAGACTCGTAGGTTGAGATAAAAATGGTTTAATAATTGAAATAAAATAATAATAGAAAATACAAATGGGTAATGCACAATGCGATTGCTTGCCACCTGCCGACCTATGCCCAGCCTGTTCTTGGCTAGTGATCCCAGAGAAGAGAAGATCCAGAAGCCGCAATCCCAGAAGCGAGAGCGTGAGTTTCTTGGTCAATCCCAATCTACATATGAACATTATGTTATATGATATGGCCTATTTCACTGGCTGATTTGGGTCTATTGCTCTGGCCGTGCTCCCTCCCAGCTTCTTGTACACTTGCACACTAGCAGAACACGGGAAGTCAAAAAACCTGTGCTTTCTTAGCAACAACTGAGAACATCAGTGTATTATCAACATTCTTCTCATACCAAATCCCATACTGAATTCAAACCACAGCACTATTCTGGTTACTAAAACGAAAAATTAGCTCTGTCCCAGCAGAAAGCAGGGCACTTGTTTCTTCCAAAACTGTTCCCTTCATTTCAGGACTGTCCCCAGCTTCCAGTGAATCTGGACCTTGTTTCCCTCCTTCAAGTGCACATTGAGAATTTATCATGCTCTTTAGTCTGTATTGCATGGGGATACTGGGAACATTTGAGCAGTGTTAGTGATGCCTGAAGAACCTGAGCTAGTGTATTTTTGCTGTTGATCCTTACTCCGGCTGAAGCTGATGGACACAATATCCACATAATTGGTAATGGAAAAGGGCAGAGAAGGTGTGAGGTTCTGTAGTTCCTTAAAATGGAAAATGTATTACTTGCAAGGTTACTTGAACTGAAACTGTCTGTCCTCACAATAATATCTTTTCTTTTGGTAAGACTCACACATCCTGTTTGTCTTGGTAAACAGAAGGCTAACTGAGTATCTGTCTACATAATATATTCAGTGTTTTCTCTTTAAATTTTATTTTCTTAGCAGTGAATCAAATAGGCAAGTAGACCTGGGAGAGCAAATGTCTTGCCTAAAGCAGGAGAGGGAATTACACTAGGATTTCCTACATGGTAGGTTAATTCTTTAAGCAGTACTATATTTTACCATAAAAGGCTTGTTGGGCAGCAAGGTCATATTATTATAGGTTAAAATCTTAGTGGTATCTTATTACCTCATGAAACAAGTTAACATGAATAGAAATTGTATTTTTCATCTATAATGGCTTTTTTTTTAATTTGTTTGAGCTGAAGCAAGGCATTGACTGGCTGACAAATTGTATACTCTTCAATATTTAAGACAAAAAGCCTTTTTTGGACTGACAAGCAACCCAGATGCCTACTAGTGTAAGAAATCACTAAATATGTTGGAGTTTTAGTTTTTCTTAGCAAAGCAGTTAAAAATCCTTGCCCTAATTAAAGGTGTTAAAGCCTCAATGTTGTTTGACTTTGAAAGAATCTCAAAGTGAGAAAGTCCACTCTTTGCTTTGGTTGTTATTATTGCAGTTGTATGAAGAGAATGCAGGAGAGTAGGATATGCTTTTCTTTAAGTTCTTCCACTTTGTTCAGCGTAGATTTTGATATGTGATTTGTGAATGATCATCTCTGTAAAGGAGAAATTCAATTTCCAAATTTTATATAGATTGTATTGTGTGGTCTTGTGAAAAACAACATAAAAATAATGTACGTTTTCAGCTTTTAACCACTAGATGGTAGCTAACTACTATCTGTAATTACCCATAGTGAAAGAAACCTCATTGCCAAAGCTGTGCAGTGTAACACTATAATTTTTTGTTTGACATTGTGAAATGAACTTTCATAATTCCTAAACAAATATGGCAACTTAATATTTTAATCTAAAAAGTTTTTCTCTAATGCAGTTGTCTGTGCACTTCATGGTTTCACTGACCTGCATAGTGGTAAATACCCCAAATCTGACTTGTTTTACAGGGTGCTGAACATAGTCAAGGCTATCCAGAAACACATAACAGACTAAAATTATTCTGATAATTCTGAGTTGTAATACATGATTGCATATCCTCCTTAATGTATATATTGCATTAATAAAAATAATGCAACTTCATCATGGATTTTACACTTCTGAATCACCTGGGGAGAAAATGTATTATTCAATTCACAGTTCTGATTATGGATCACCAATAAAATAAAGGGTGAAAGAGCAGGTTTTTTTTTTTTTTAAAGCTGGTTTAAAATGGCAATAAAACCTTTTTTTTTTTGGCAAATGATAAAAATGTTTTTGTAAATGGTAAGTCTGGTACTGTGATAAAACAAGGAGTCCTTGTTAAGTTATTGATTACATGACCCTGCCTCAGCAAGAACTGTTCTGTTTAAAAATCTTTAAAACGAACCTGGATTATTGGGCCCATTTACATAGGCCATGATACACTGCTTAAGCTAATGCTCTTGTGGATGTAAACCAAATTCCTAAAGCAGTATTCTTATAGCAGTTTCAGTAGTTATCAGCTACACCAAACAAGCAAACTTTTGTTGCTTGTAAGGCAAAGAAGCAGTGCAGGTGATAAGAGTCTTGCATATGGCTGCTGACCAGAAGGCTTCTTAGCCTTCTGGGTTGTTGGTTGTATTAATAGCGTGCTAAATTGGCTCTGCTGGAAGTCTGGCTTTTGACCTGAGAACAACAGTGACCTGACAATGGCAGTTAACTACTGTCTCAACTACTTCATTATTTTCACTTTTCTTTTTTAACACATAATGAGGTGGAAGATCACGGGAAGTTGCATTCCATAAATGTCAGAAGTCTTAACGTGTTTCTAATCAAGATCAGCATCTTATCTAGTATTGTAAATGCCGCCTGCGTAAAAGGTTCTGAGTGAGAGCTGAGTGAGGATATATTACAGCTGCAAAGAGGTTTTCTGTGTAAATTAGTGATTTGTGATTTTTTTATAGTAACACGTATATGGGTCCAATCCATGAGTTAGATTATTCCCTGTCATGATTGCCAGTCATTTTAATTCTGCTAGCCCTTTTAATTAATGTAAAATTGCTCCATTCCAAGTTACTTAAATGACCGAGATTTCTGAAGTTTGAAGACTATTTCTTTCTGAAGAGGATAAATGAGCTGACAGAGATGCTCTGCTGGGCTTGCCACTCACAAACAAGAAAGAACTAGTTGAAGATGTGGAGGTCAAGGGAAGCCTTACCTACAGTAACCATGAAGTTGTGCATCTTAAAACCCTGACAAAACTGATTAAAACAATCAGTAGGATCACAGCCTTAGACCTCAGGACAGCAGATTTTTATTTTTTTTTTACTTCTTCAGGGATCTGCTTGGCAGGATCCCATGAAGGGCTTCTCTAGAGGGAAACGGGACTGAGGAAAACTTTGATTTGCAAGAACAACTTAACTGGAACACAAGGACAAGTCGTTCAGTGTGCGGAAGGAAGAGCGGGCCTTGCAGAAGGCCAGCATGAATGAATGTGGAGACCCTGTCTGAACTCAAACATGCAAGCTTCCATAGAAAGCAGAATCAGGGATGGACCGCCCAGGAGGAATATAGAGAAGAGTGCCTGCGTGAGCAGTGTTAGAGTTCAGAAATCTAAAGTTCAAACTTGTGAGGAGGGTGAGTGGAATGAGAATGGCTTTTCTAAGTATGGTGGCAGCAAAATAAAATATAGGCCCATTGTTCAGTGGGACAGGTGACTAAGCAACAAAGAACATGGGAAAGGCTGAAGTATTGAGTGCCTTTTTCACCTCAGCATTCACAAATTAGGTTCGCCTTTTGACTTTCTAGGCCTTTAAGCCTTCTTGCAGAATGTATGGAAATGAAGGATAGCCAAGATAGGGAGCACTGAAGCCGATTGGATGTGTGGAATTCCATGGGAGCAGATAAGATGCACCTGAGGGTGCTGAGGGAGGAAACCAATGTCATTCTGAGGCCCCTCATATTTGAAAGGCCACATGATCTGGGGAGGTTTCTGATGACCGGAAAAAGACAAGTGTTACAACCACCTTCAAAAATGAGAAGAGGGAAGGTCCAGAGAATGACAGATCAGTCAACTGCACCTCAGTCCTAGGTAAGGTTGTGGGGAAAACTGTTCTGGATGCCATTTTATGTCATGTGAAGGACAAAGATGTTTGCTAACATCCAGCATCGATTTACCTGTGTGACCAACCTGACTGCCTTCTATGATAAGATGGCTAGCTATGTAGACAAGGAGAAAGCAGTGGTGGTGTTCTTTATCTTGACTTTAGCAAGGTGATTGAGAAGGTGTCCCATAATATCCTTAGGATCAAACTGGAGATATCAGACAATTATTCCATACAATTTGGATGGAAAATTAGCTGGGCAAGCAGGCTTCAAGAGGTGCCAAGTCCAGCTAGTGGGCAGTTTCTAGTGGTGTCCTTCGGAGATTGATACTCAGGCCTAATGCTGTTTAGTATTTGTAAAGACAAATGACCTGAATGGTGGGACAGAGTACACCCTCTGCAAGGCTGTTGATAATAAACTGAGGGGAGAGGCTGATATATGGAGTGCAGGGCTGCTATTCCAACAAACCTGGATGAACTTGAGAAATGGGCTGACAGGAATCTCAAGAAATTAAATGAAAGCAAATGCTAAGTTCTACAGTTAGGATGGAGTAACCTTGTATGACAGTACAGGCGAGTGGCCAGCTTGCTAGATAGTAGGTTTACGGAGAAGGGCTGAAGGGTTCTGTTCCACACCAAGTTGTACTTGAGCCAGTAATACATGTCACAGCAAAGAATGCTGACCACAGACAGGGCTGAAATAGCCAGCAAGTTGACAGAGCAAGTTCAGCAGTGGGTCACCAAGATGGTCAGGAGGCCAGAGTGTGTGATGCATGACAAAGATACTTATAGAACTGAGTTTTTTCATTCTTAGGAAGAAAAGGGTAAGGGGAGATCTTACTGAAGCCTAAAATCATCTAACGGGAGGGTAGAGAGAGGACAGAGCTGAAGTTGTATGGTAGTAAGAGCCAACATACACAAGCTGGAACATAGGAGATTCCAGTTAGATGGGAACAATCTTTATGTTGGGCAGGCAAATACTGTTACGGTGCCCAAGAGGTTGTTGAATCTCCATCCTTTGAGATATTCAAAACTCAACTGCACACATCTCTGAGCAACCCCCTCTAACTTAACTCATTTTGAGCAGAAGACTGGACTAGGTGACTTCCAGAGATCTCTTTAAGGCTACACGATTTTGTGGTTAAGTTAGTTGCTATTGACCTTGCATCATTTTATGAAAAAGCTCCATGATTCTTAGGTGGTTCTTTGAGACATTTATTTAAGCTTTTTTTTTTTTTTTTTTTTTTTTTTAAAAAAGAGCTTTATTAATGCATGGGAAAGTTAAATCTGTTGGGCTGAGTTTTGACATTAGAAATCACATACATCTTGCAAAGAAGTAAATAATTCCTCAGTGTTCTGAATATATCTCGTAATTAACTCAATATGTAATACTTAGTAGCATGTTTAATTTTAAAAGAGAAGGCTGTGAAGTGTTCAGCGAAAGCTATGGATGCTTACTTTTACACCAAATGTGGGTTTTTTTTGTCTCTTTCAAACATGTATACACAATGAGATTTGACTAAAGTGGTGGAAATTATATTGAAAATCAGATAATGTGGGGAAAATGTTTTTTATTCATGTGGATTTTATCAGCACTGAGGTTTTCAAGTGATTTTTAGGCATGATTCACACTGATATGAGTGGAAGCAAAAGTATTTTAGGGGCATTCTAAGCTTGAAATAGCTGTAAAATTTCTTGTTGCTAATATTGGATCATTAGTTTGTTTTTCTTGGCATTTTCAAGAGATGTCAGATTATATTCTGTTACTGAAATGGAAAAAATTAAGGCTATTGTAAGAAAAAAACCTTAACATTCTCTGCTGGAGAAAAATTGCTGTATTAAGCAACCATTGTCCAACTGAAAAATAACAGAGACTGCGCTTGTATAAAAAATATAGATAGAAAACTTGGTAATTTAGTAGTCTGCAGGTAAAAGTTATTTGAAGGCTGCTTGACTGTTGTTGCTATATATTTAAACAGTCATCTGTGACAAGGAAACAAAGATGTCTGTTGACATGAGGATTACTTAAGAAGATTAAACACAAATCAGATGAGCAGTTATAAAATTGACTTCTGCAAATGTTATGTTGCCCTTGAGCATGGTGAATCATATCGAGCGGTGTTTGTGTATAAACAATATCACCTTAACGACACTGTGGTTGGTAGCAGTAATTTTCAACTCCTAATCTATAGGTAGTGAATTCTGGTGGTTAGAGACCTCTGGTTTCTCAAGTAGTCCAATTTAGTTTTCAAGTAATTTAAATACACATTAGAACTGATTTTTAAATACAGAGCTAAGGTTAGTTGCTGGATTTTTAGGTCCTTACTGTGCTTCCTGGAGATGTTTTTTTGGTGTTCCTACAGATAAGGAATGAAACAAGTATGAACAAAAGGTTGGGGAGAGAGTTAAAAATGATGAACCAAGAAGCTTCTCCATGGTTTAAAGCTTATTGCTGAAAAACAGTACTTGATGCTTATATCAAATAGTACAATGTTTAGAGCTGGAAGGAAGCAACTTTGGAAACAGAGCATTGGCAGAGTTATAAAGGTAAGGAAAACTGAACTTTGGACTAGGTTGAGTCTAGTAACTGTAGAGTTTGAGTAAAGCTGTGAGTTGAGGGGAGGGAAGAGTGTAGAAAAATGTGTGCTTTAAAATGGATGATATCGGTTTCACAAAATTTTCTAATTATAAGAATGGATAAACTTTGCATTTTAAAGCAGAACATAGTATTTAGGATAGGTATTTGTCATGAGAGGTAGTTTTATTGTGTAACTGGCCTTACGAGTTAATTGGTAGGGTATCAGTCAAGGCTTAGTTGCACTGTTTGTTTTGATAAATAAATGGAAGACATTCATGCATTTGGCTACTAGTACTTGTATCTTGTCCAGATTGTTGCAGTGATCTGGTAATGGTATAATTCAACAAATGTTTTACCAGTAAGTAAAGAGCTTGATGCTAGATTTGGCAAGAAGACAGGGGTGGGCTCTGCCACCATGGAAACTGAATTTTAACTCCACTCTTCACATGCTTATAAAATGGGAATAGAATTTTGAAGACACTACATAGCATTGAGAAACAATAATAAAATATATAAGTCATTAAGACCCTTAGACTAACATAAAAATCTGATTATTTGAACAAACTGTTCCTGAGTTAATGCAATGTTATTACAAATGTGGGAAAGCTCTGATGTTTGAGGTTTAAGAGAGCTAAGGGGTCTGCCCTAAATCTGTAGGCTATGTGTTTTTTGGAGAAGAACAAATAAAAAGGTGTGTGTCTGGAAATTAAGGATGCTTGGAAAGTGTAAAATGATTTGCAGTTTACTTTTACAGGGAAATCTATGAGCAATACTTATGCAGTATAAAACATCAAGTTAAAGAAAAAACAGAGGAATGTTGGTTAAATAAGTTTTGCATAATACAGTAAATTAACAATGACACACTCGTACTTTTTGACTCTTACTGTTGAACTTCCTAGTAAAATTCAAGTGTATTGCTCGCTCATAAGACTTTGATCTGAGTGTGTCTAAACTCAGTAATGCACCATATTCTGACAACAAAATGCATCATTTGCTGGATAAACAGTGTTCAGGAACAAGTTTTAACTTGTGCAGTTAAGACTTGCATACTAAATAACATTCATGCTAACTCTGTTTAGAGTGTCTGCAGGCACAGCAGTAACTGCACTCTGTAACGGAGAAGTTGGCAACAGTCAGTATTTGGTTTCTGAGGCTGTTGTTTCAAAGGAAGGGCCCCTGGCATCTCTGACTTTTGATACTTTAGTACCTTCTGTTTAAATATATATACTTAAATATTCTCCTGATGGGCAGAAAACACTTCTTTTTGAAAATGTTACCTTAATCCACATTTATTGCTTCAGATTGTTGGTGTGGTGGTTATGGGTTTAGGCATATATTAAAATGGATTTAGGAATCTGCCTTTTATTCTGCTTCAGGAGAAGATGGCTACGGAAATTAGTTTCCTCTGCTACATTTTTGGCATTTAGGTATTGGGAATTTTAAAGTTTTATGTAATGTTAATCAAGTTACTTGTTAATCATCAAAGGTTAATGCTACTAGGTTAATCAGCAAAGAAAGACTTTTTGGTTAATAAGTTTAGCTTTGGACTTGCATCCATTGTGGGACTCTGTCACGTGGCCTGTCTTAATTTCGTAACTAAGAGGGGGGAAGGAAATGCAAAACTAAATATGGCTGTGCTGCTGTTCTTTAAATGAAGAACTGAAGTAGAGCTGTACCATATAAAATTTAGACAATCTTTCCAGATATCGAAGTGAGAAAGCATGTGTCTCTTGTAAATGCTTTTCCCTCTGGATCCTCCTACATCATGGGACATTATGAGGGGTTTTTGTTGTATGACCTTGACCAGAATTGCTGCTGATACTTTTCAGTAAGTATCACTGCTTATACTACTTGGGGAGGAGAAGTTCTTAGAAGTGTCAGATCATCAGAATATGGAAGCATGACAGGCGGGGTGTGTTTTTGAATTGCATAGGATCATAGCATTTCCTATCAGGCAAAACATGCATGCAACTTGCATTAATTAGAGAGATACCCACCAGAATAATGCAAATGCTTTCCAGAAGTGACATGTGATAAATGCAAGTGAATACCTTAATCTTTATAAAACTATAGCTTTATTATCTACTTAATAATTCCCTGTTTTCTCTAGGAGTTCATTAAAAGAATGGAAGTTAACTAGACTTTAAAAGTTTTGTGATGTATTAATGAATGTTCTTGTTACTGGACTTAGCATGAGGCAATATTTGATGTCTATGTGAACAGCTATACACACTAGCTAGTGTATTTGTTATAGGGCTTGAGAGGCTGCAATTAAAAGACTGGGAAGCATTAAAAGAACTGAAACAATCAGGGCATGATTGCACAGAAGGTGTTCGTGATTTCAGCCTACATAAACAGCAACTTGTAGAAGGAAACGGAGGCTATGTAAATATCAAGGGCCATCTGTACAAGTGGAGTTTGGAACTGATATACAATGTAAGATAATGTACATAATACAGTGTGCAATGTACATAATACCTTATGTAGCAATATATGAGGACTTCTATGCTGGAAATGCAGCAGAAAACAAAAATAGTCTCTCTGTAGTTTTAAGTAAAACACAAAGAGCTTTTTGCTGGATTAAACAGAAGCTAACTAATTGGCAGAGTATTGGTTGTATTTTTCTATGTTAAAGATGCTTTATCAGTTGTGCTCAAATTATACAATAACAGTTTTTAGGATTCTAGTGTTAGCATCTCAAGTGAAGCTGACTGAGTCTGAAATGGTTGTTTTTTTGTATGTCTAACTAGGGGGAAAATTTCTACCCTCATTAGACAACATGTAAGAATGGCCAATCCTGTGATGACATTTCATTTTTGGGAAAATGAAGACCACGTTAGGGAATGACAGGAGTAAAATAGCATAAAGTACATGCAGAAATTAATCTGAAACTGCATTATTGAGGCATATCTGTGTAAAGAACAGGATTTGTATGTTTGTCTTTTACATGAGAAAACATTTCCAGTTCATTTAGCATTTATGAAGGCATGCTAGTAATTATGATTTTACTAAATATTTGAAAATTCCTTCAGAAAGTAAGAAGGATATTTAAATAAAGGTATGAAGTTTATTATGCGAGTTCTTCTGTTGGTTCTGCAGAAGCTCATGGATAAATCACTCGTGCATACCTTATAGACTTACTAGATTTTTCATAATCACAGGGGAAATAAAGGTTGAATTTACCACCAATGAAACATAATTCTAAATTTCTTTTGAAAATGAAATGATATTAAATCTTGTAATCTGTGAGCACGATAATACCAGTAACTATTCCAGAAGGCTATTTTGTCTATAATGTAATGAGGTGTATTACATATGGGAATTCAACTTAATTAGAAGAGTAGGCATACTGCTTGAAGAATGGTATAATAGCTATGGTTAAGCACATTTGTAAACATTTGTGTACCTTGAGGCTTGTGGCTTGTTTTACTTCTCATTATATTAAAGAGATAATGTATGAAATCCTATCTTCGTCCAGCAGCATCTGTCTTTATTAGAGAACACTTAGAGTATCTTCCATGAATAACAAAGATGGTTCAGAATCCTGTCTTGACTTGATGGTCATATGTGTCTAGACTGAAAAGCTGGGACTAAGGATTTAGGGTGTTGAAGAACACTTGCAGAATGATGGAGCCATACATATAAAATACCTTTTTTTTTTCCTTCTTCAGTCTTTCAACAAATAGATAATATTGTAGAAAAGACTGATGATATAAATTTTGTGCTAAATCTGAAAATAGAACACAGAAAATCAAGTGTAAAATCATAACAGGGGTCGCTTCTAAAAATTTCATTTAAGTGCATTAAAAACATAAACCACAACTATGAAATAATGTAATGGCCTTTAACATATAAATTGTAGAATTTTCTTTATTTTTGTCTTCAAATAGATTGTGAATTATTAATTTTCCACTTTGTGTTTTATAACAGCAAAAGCTCAAGGAAGAGAGGGAGGCTAAACGCGCTCGGCTGGATGGCAGGCATGATTACTTACTGGATATTGTTGCCTCTTGTGTGAATCTGGACAAAGCAGAAATAGAAGATGCTATTCTTGATGGTAACCAGGTAATCTGGTAGTGAAGCTCATGGAGTACTTTAGATCTGATATTACCATTAAATACTCAGTAAGATAGCTACCAGACTTTGTGTTTGAGATTACTTAAGTGTTATAAAAAAATATTTCTTAGCTTTTTGTATTTAAGTTGAACAAAATCATCCTTAGTTTCAGGACCTATTGTAACAATATTGATTTTGAAACTCATTAGAATTTCTGCTTTCCAGTGGTTATAGATAAGTACAGTAAAGCTTGTGTCCGTATTTCATACTGGATCCACAGCATGAAGTCTCAGTCCTTGAATATATAGTACGTATAGATTCAAGAGTCCTGTCCACAGCAGGCTGCATGTTATTGTTGGTTCCATTAGGCTGCCACCAGTGTTTGTGAGACTACATTGTGTTCTAGTTTAGGAAATTACATCACGTGGAAGCTACTTGACAAAATAGAATGGCTGAGTGATCTGTCTGACTACATGACGATTAATACAGGGGGTAAGCAGTTAGAAATATGTATTTTGAGGAAACAATCCACAGAAGTTGATGGTATTATATGCAGTGGAGATACATTCTGTGATTTGAAAAGAAATTTTTTTCTTTTTAAAACCTAGGTAGACAGAAAGTAGATCTGTTTAACTCCCTGACGCTGAAGTAAACATGGTTGTGGTTAATTTCCTCTTTTATTCTTTTGACATCTGTTTACTTAGAATTTATGCATTCCCATTTCAGTGCTAATATTGTTGAGAGACTGAAGAAAGTCCAGTGGAAGACTATCAAGATAGTGAGAAACACAGGGCATGTAAAGTATGAGAAGAGGGAGAATAAGATTGAGGGGTAGTCAAATAGTAGCCTGCAGTTGCTTGAAGAGTAGTTACAAAGATGACAGAGCTGAACTCAGTGGTTGCAGATGATACGACAAAGGCAATAGTCACAACTTGCAAATAGGACATTAAGAGACCCTTCTTCACTGGGAAGGTAACGCAGCATGGGAATAGATGACTTGAGTTGTGGAATTTCTGTCCTTGAGGTTTTTGAGACAGCCTAGGCAAAGCTCTAGATGGCCTGAACTGCTGTTGATGATACAGGAGGCTGGCCTCAAGATCTCCCAGAGGTCCCTACCAAAATTTCTGTGATTACATGTGATATAAGAACATAAACTGTGCAAAACACAGTCATGCAAGTTAAAAAACAGAACTTGTTTTAGCCTTTGTGCATTCTATCTTTAAATGGCTTTCCTGGCAAAGTATATTGCCTGAGAATAACTGTCAGATGATTACACTTGGCAGCTGTTATACTTGGAAAGAGAAAAGTGTAATAGTTATTTTGACCTCATCTTGGAGGGCTCAGCCAAGATTTTCTGGAATAACAGTTTATGTGATCTTAGTGTAACTGAGGCCCATTATTAATGGAAGAGGGATAAATGTGGCTTTCTTCCTGCTGCTGGTAATCTCTTAGCCTTTTTTTTGTGCACTAGGAAGCACAAATGGTACCAGCAAATGTTTCTGAAGAAGAACTTCTAGAAGTAGAAGCCTTTTCTGCTGAAAGATTGCTGTGTAGTTAGGGACTGTATGAAACACTCATAAGTGACTTACAGATCTAGAAAAATAATGAATTAGGCTAGAATTTCAAGTGCTGAAACACTGATCAGCATACTACCATTGTGCAATTAACTTTCTTCCTAGGCCTGTATAGTCTATACATGAGGTTCTTGGACTGCACTACCAATATATAGTTTAAGGGTGCTTGATGGCAGCCTTAAATTGATGGAGAACTGTGAAATTGTCCTGATGCTTAAAATATAAATAAATATAGGCTTCCTCTGTTGCTGTGATATGGAATATTTGCAGTTGTGTGTTTTCTGCTTTCAGCTAGTTAGCTGAATGGCAGTAAGAATAACATGAGTGAGGGACTTCAATGAGCTGTTGCTGCATTTCATTGTCCCCTCAGTTTGGGAAACAATGCACAGCATGTACAGTAAGTGGTTTCAGTAAACTGAAACATGGCTTGGCGGTATTCAGATGTGTTCAGCATGGAAAAATTTAAATGATTCAATTAAGTAAGTGTGTGTTAGTAAAGGACAAGGCAACTCAATCACTTTTTGGGTGGTAGTAACTGGGCCTGGTATAACTTTATTATTGAACAATGATAATGTGATGAGTATTTGTCAGCCCTTTATGTTAAACATCTGAGCAAGTTAAACTTTTCTTGCATAATGATCTCAGCATGACCTATCAACAGATAGAGCGCATTGACAAATTCCTGGCCCCTGGAGGTTTGCGTCATCTGATGTTCTACTGTCAAGATGTGGAGTCAACTCATACAGGTAAAGCAACTTAGGTTCTCCTGCAGCATGTTACAGTTGTGCTGAGTAAGCATGCAAGGAAAAAGCAAATAGTAAAGTTCTTATAAACTGGGTCTTAAGGCAAGTTAAATTTGGTCATACTGGGGCATCGATTCTTGCTCATGAAATGAGGACAGGTGAAATTACTGAAGCTTTTTAGTGCATTTCTGCATATTGCTAGTATGCAGCAGCAAGGTCCTTCCTTGCGAGCCCAGCAACTCTTGCCTGGGGGGCTGGGAAATGTTTTTTTGATAGTTGAAAGATGACTTTCACACAAGGTGAGCAATGACAGGTGCTCTGTCCCCTCCCCTCTGATCATGCCACCAGTTTGCCCTAGAAGCCCTCCACATTTCTGGGCACATGACCATCCATCCAGGTGGTCCTGTTACATAACAAATGGCCCCAGGAGGCCAGCACTATGGGTGGCAGGGCTGTTATCCCAGAAGTCCCTTCTGCTCATATACCTTTCCCTTCCCCAGTATTACCACACTTTTGGGGGAAGCCTCCCTCTCACCCTGGAGGCAGCTTAGGACCCCTGTGACAAGGACATCCTCCCTTTTCCCATGGTTTCTTTCCCAGAGCCTCCAGTGCTACTACTGCTGGGACTAGCCAGGTGCTATGGGACCTCTGAGATCCCATGACTGTTTTGTGGGAGTTCATTCCACTTGTTTACCCTGGATGTACAAGAATGGCCTTGTAAATATATCTATGTATATCTGTATAAATATGTGTTTATACATATGTAAATGTATACCTATATGCATGTACAAATATTTATTTATACTTTATGTATTTTCAATATATGTGTGTATATACCTAAAAGTTATGAAAAGACTTTGATATAAGCACCTTTAATAATTAAAATTGAAATGTACATAGAAGCAAAATTAAATGAAAATACAAACTTAGCCACTAATTTAGAAATCTGCTGAGTGAGTTTTAAAATGCCTGAGTTGAAGTGGTGGAAGTATGTTGGAGAGAGTGTGAGGCAAGGGGAAAAAAGCCTGGGAATCTAATCAGAGTACCTCTCACCCATCCCTGAACTGAACAATCATACTGTAGAGTCATTTGTGGTGACCTTTGGGATGTCATGCTAGATGCAGGCAATGTGGAAAGCTGGAGAAACAAACAAATTCTCATCAACATGTGCCTTGGGTGAATATGCAAAAGTTCCCAAAAACTGTGTGCACTGGAAGAAAGAAAAAGTAGAAAAAAATGGACTGGTAGTGAAGTAGACAGGTGAGTGTGGGATGAAGTGAGTGGGTCGCAGGCTGCCTTTGCCCACAGCTGTAAGCATATAGTTACTTGTAATACCATCACAGTGTGCAGTTTGCACTATACATTTTTCCTTCTTAGGTGGAGTAGAGTTTGTAAAAGAATCTTCTGTGCAGATTATACTGGAGCTGTGGTTTACAGGCTAGCAAAGCAAAAATTGCAGTTATAGTGATGGTTACTAATCAGTAAAGAAAGTTAAGGTGACTTTTTGTAGTATTACATGCACCTTGTTGGCAAGGGCACTTAGTATACACCACCTCAAATACAAGTTGGTTTTCTGACCCTGTTGTGGATCAGCAAATGATTCTGTTATGGCAGAAGATGACCCCGTGAAGGGTGCCTACAAGATATTTTGTGTCCCTGCAGAGCAGGAGCCTGTGCATCTCTGAGTTTAGAAAAATGTACTCCAGAGCCCTAAGGGGTCATCGTTTCAGTCTGGTTTTATGCCCACTCCCACATGCAGACTTTTTGCAGTGTTTTGAATGGCACTTTTAACATGCAGCTGAACAACTTCTAGCACACTTTTCAGTAACAGTACATCTTTTCTAAAGAGACTGCAGAGTACTACCTACTTCAGCTCCATACATTGTGGGAATGCTCTGAAAACTGGGATGACTGGTCTAGCCTCTGTAATTACTGAAGGGCAAGGATAGTGCAAGTTTATGTTAAGTGGCAGTAAATCAAATTAATAAAATTGTCAGAGTCAAGATTTTGCTGTTGAAAGAGCCCTTTTGATGTACTTAGGTAAACAAAAAAGAGACATGCAGGAGCTGTGGGGGGAAAAAAAGGAAGGGGGAGAGGTGATATGAACAAAAGGGTTGGGAAGGAATTTATGGGTGGCCTCCTAATCCAAAATAGGGATCTCTGGGGCAGATGATCATGTGCCTGGAAGAAAAAAGGGCAAGGCACCTGTCCTTTTTTGTGAATTGTTTGGTTGTTGTCCTTTAACTACTAGTATCAACAATTCACTTTTTAATCTTATTGTTTCAGTGTCTCACTGAGATGTGTATGCTTGTGGTTTTATGCTGAGATAACGCTAGAAAACTAGTAACAGAAGTAATGTGACCAAAAATACAATTTAAGAGAATTTTTTTTCCCCGAAAAACACTGCTACTCCTTGGTGACTCTTTACAAGTGTTATCAACAGCCTAAACATGGTAGCAGCACATGCATGTTGGCAGAAGAAGAAAGGACAGGGGAGTCCTTTGTAGCTCTCTCTTTTTTTTTTTTTCCCTTTTTTTTTGTTTGTTTGTTTTGTTTTCTTGTTGTTATTTGTTTTCCCCAAAGAATCTGATGTGGCCTTTCTATCCTTGTTTCCAGCATCACTCTATTCCTTTTTTTGGTATGTTAGATATATGTCTACATGCTTTTAAGGAAAGACAGATGATAATGGCTCCTCTGAGGTAAACTGCTGATTTTTTTTTTTTTTTTAAATGAATAGAGCATTATTTGCAACTGCAGGATAGAGAACCATGTAAGAGGATCTTGAACCTGAACCTTTGATTAGAAGGAATAGAAAACAAAGAAATAAACAGTAATGAAAGGTTTTGGGTGTGAATAGCAAAACTGTATGAAATAGTTCTTACCATGCCATGAGGACTCGATGCTGTGTACTGTCTGTGGATAGTCCTATGGAGTAGCTCCAGAGGACCAGAACTTGGAGATACACAAATGACTGAACTGTTTGTTTAAAAATTTTTTCTTTGAATAAATAATCAGTGGGTTTTAAATGTTTCTTTTATTTGACTCTGTAGAGCACTTTGGCCTTTCAGGAACAGGAATGAACTCTCATTTGACAAAGAAAAAGAAACCCGAAGTATTTGTCACAGAGGGAAAAGAAGTTGCTTTAACTGGTGTATGTGTTTTCTTCATTAGACCTAGTCTTTTTAAACCCATCACAACTGAGAATATCTATCAGGTAAGGGTCAGTGACTGCTGATCACTGTACATAATCTTGTTTAAAATTCATTTTCATCTTGGGGTATTTGGTCTCAGCACATAACTTGACAGCTTTTGCCATGGAGGAATGAGCAAAAGGGCACAGTTTGGCCAAATGAAACACAGGACAAAAAAGGAAGGGAATGGAAAAAACAATATTATCTAGTGGCAGCAATTTGAAGTGTATCATTGCTATAAAGAAACAATGCTAAGGAAGAAAATTTATGACAATCCAGAATGACAAAGTGTTGACAATACCTAATAAGGTGATAATTTTTATAAGTGTTAGCAAATCCATTAAAAAACCAGAAAAAAATGGTTTTATTTTTGAGAGTGTATATGCAAACTATATATAAACAAGTTTTTACTGGTGAAGGACTCCTTAAATCTATGGCAGTCTGAAGTCAAAAAAGCTTGATCAAGTGCTGCAGTAGTGAGGAGCACAGAGTGAAATGTAGGGAATCCTACAGTTGTAGAAAAGCTAATCAGAGTGCTAAAACAAGAATGATGGGCCAAAGGAGAAGTTAGTGTTATGGAAAACTGTACACTTCAGAATGAGAACTTTCAAGTACAACACCTAAGCCAGAAAATTTTAACTTACTTCCTTTCTTCTAGGAAAACCTTTAAAACTATTTTTCCCAGATAGGCAAGGAATAGGAGAGAAAAGGGTGGATGAGCTGGCTGTCATCACCAAATTATTTTTTTGATTTTCACAGTACATGCTTTAAAGTTTTACACTTCTCTCTTTTTTTTTTTTTTTTTTTTTTTTAAACGATATTGAAAGATCTGTCTAAGATTTTAGTCAATTATATACCCTTTAACATTTGAAGATTTTTTGCTTATTAGTGCTTGCAAGCTGGTAATTGTAACTGAAAGATGTATAAAACAGACTTCACAAGTAATGATATCACCCTTGCTGATAGTAGATAATACCTTAAAACTAGAAAAGTCAAGTTGAAAAGTGAAAAGGTATGTCTGAAGACAAATGTGTGACACTTAAATACGTTTGGCATTAAATTATGTTGCTGAAAAGAATTCTTGTGGTACCTTCTAATGAAGCAAAAAATGGCTGGCAGATTAATGTAATTTATCTTAGAAGTTTTTAAATATTCTGAAAAAGGCTCTGGAAAGTGGGTGTTCTGTGAATTGTTCTCTCCCAGACTGATAGAGGTATTCTTCCTGGTCTAATCCTTGGGCCAACTGCAAGTCAGAATTAACTGGAATTCATGATTTTTTTGGTATCTAAACCTTTTAAATGCATATATCTCTGCTGAGATGTATGTATATATGTATGAATATATTAGAAAATATAATTCTCATAGATTTAGAAGTGGCAAGCTGGAATGATTTTACTCACCCATACAAACTGAGCTTTATAAGTAGAGGTCTCTTCTGCTCTCATCATATTTTGGAAGTGTCTTCCGATATTTGTTTTCTCAGTTTTGTATGACAAACTGTGACCCTGTGCAAATCTTGCAGCCCCTGATAGCAAGAATTGGGCTGTTACTGCTTGAAGAGCCCTCGTACATACCTGTAACTTTTTTGATGCTCATGGCAGTAGGACTGGAATAAATATAGTGATAGTAAAATTTTGTTTTCTATTTTAACATGTTTTTTTTTTTTTTTTTTACAGGAAGTAAATTTTAATATGATGAATGTAGGTCGAGATGGCTTACTAAAAAGTGTTGAGCTTTTGATATCAGAAATCTTCATTCCAGCTTTACAGACTACAGACCGTAGCTGGGTTGAACTTGGTGAACTTCAACAAGCTTCTAATATTAAACATGACTTCCTTTGTTCCCTTGAAGCATTTGTTAGTGTGCTATCGGGAGCTCAGCAAAGTCTGTTGGAAAAGGTAGTATGTTCACATGGAAAACAGAAATTGAGCTAGTTGTAGAATGTCTCTTCTTTTGAATTAACTGCTGCTGTAGAATACTCTTAAAAAATTGTTTTTCTTAAACTGGAGTGACACTGTTGTCATCAGTAACTTGTTACATGTTGATCTGTGACTTTAACAATTCTGCAGGTGCTTTTGTTGTTTGTTCTGGCTCCAGTTCTTTAGACCTATTAACTTCTTGATTTTCCAATGGCTGTGGCCACTCTTAAACCAGGAATGATTAATGTATAACAAACAGTTGCTTTTAACTGTTGATTTCTACTCAGCCTGTGTGAAGGAAAGGGCATGAGAGCACAGCTGCAAGGCTGGTGAATTCTCCAGATTCTGGAGCCCAGTTCTGGCTCAAACCAGTTTAATTTAAACTGAAGTGGGAATATGAAGGGAGATACCCCAAGTGGGGCACCCAGTTAAAATTCCTGGATTGTTGTGAACACTTTGACATTTCAGAATTCTTAAACTTGTGTTTTAGGTCAGTCTGAGCAAATGTGAAACATACAATCTGGAAACTCTAAGAGGACCTTCTGATTACCTGATGGTTGCTAACAGCATAGATTCTCTCAAAAGAATAGAAGTCTGCATGAAAGGATGGACCAAACAAATTGAACAGGTGATACAGTGGACAAACGTGAAATATGACAACATCAGCATATTGGCAGATGAAATTTAATACTGTTGGCATAGAACTACTTTTCTATAAAGTTAGATGTGATCGATCCCTGTATTTTAAAGTACTGTTTGGTTTAACTTGCCAGTTTAAAGTACTGGCATGGTTTGTGTGGTTTTATTTCTCAATGAGAGTATTATTGAGAGCTTTTTCCATCTACTAAATAGCGCATACACATGTCATGGGAAGCTTAGTCCCCTGTTTTTAATAATCACATATTCATAAAGGAGAAGTTAGTGATTCCCAGTGGATTTAATGGAAGCAAAAGGAACACAATAATTCAATGTACACTAGTCTCAGTAGTCAGAACTGTACTCTGAAACATACTTTGCAGGTTATTTGCAGAAAATGTAATTGTCTGTAACAGTGCTCTTGAGATACTACTCCCTCTCTAATTTGGAACTAAAGAGGCCAAGCAAAATGTAGGTCTCTTATGTGAGGTGGTGGCTGAGTTAGGTAATTTATCGTGGGAGGTTAATACTAGGAGTTAAATTATGAATTAATCCATGGTATCCATGCAGATGAAAAATGTTAGCATCACTCATAAATATTACTGTATGATAAAAGGTTCTTGCAGAAAATGACCAGTTGAGAAAGGAAGCTGATGACCTTGGACCACGGGCAGAGCTTGATTACTGGAGAAAAAGATTGTCAAAATTCAACTACCTTACGGACCAGCTGAAGAGCCAAGATGTGAAGGCAGTGCTTGGAGTACTCACTGCTGCTAAATCCAAACTGCTGAAGGTTTCTATTTTGAGTTATGACTGATAAAAAGACTAGAAATGCTCTGTATACCCTAGTTCATTTTGATGATGTATGTAATGTTGCTGGTGGGGAAAATACTGAAGTATCTTAAGCTTTTATTTTCTTCATTCTTCCCCATTCTTCACCTTGAGCAGATAAAGTTTAAATCTAGTTTAATTTATGGAAAAGACTGGGAGTATTCTTTGTCTAAGGGCTGATAATGTACTGCATCCATATGTCTCAAGAGAAGTAAATACTTATATCGTCAAAAAGTTGATTATTAAATCAGCAAGTTGAATTAATGAATTGGGTCTTTAATGAAAAGGAAATACACCCCCCCACCACTTTTTTTTTTTTAAAAACTTCTTTCTCATATTCTTACAATATCTGTCAAAACTTCTTGTTGGGTTGTAACTTCTTACATTGACACAACAAAGTTAAAGACCCATCACAAACAGAAAAATAAGTGAATAAACAAAAAGGTCTCAAAATGAGAGACGTGAAACAAATACATTGTTACATATCCATCAGTCCATCAAGCAGAAATAGTTAACAGATGATGTCTGTATATTTTACAGCAGCTTGATTTGACAGTACTACTGACATACCTTGTTCTGCTGAATGGTCTAAAGTAACTATGTTCACAGTCAAGTTATTGGAGCAAAACAAGGACCTGTTTCTCATCTTGGGTAAAAAAGTGTAACTCTGAAGTAAAAGTTCTGTGCTTTCAAATGTGTTTAAAGGCTAATGACAAAACAGAGTGACCTTAAAACAGGTTTTCTGAAATGCATGATTCTGTTTTTTCAACTTTATATTCTTAGAACTGGCGAGTGTTGGATATTCGCATCACAGATGCAGCAAATGAAGCTAAAGATAATGTGAAGTATCTATACTCTCTGGAAAAATGTTGTGACCCATTATACAATAGTGATCCTGTAAGCAGAACTTTTAAATTCTTAACATAAATCTCTTGAGACCACCAAAATGAATGTATTTTGTAAGATCAATTTGGAAATGACATAGATAGCACATTAAGTATTCATCTCCAGTTTGAGACTTTGTTTAATTATGCTAAAGTGGCTTAGTGGGAATTTCTGGCTACAAAATAAAGTGTTATTTTTCTTGCTGTGGTATCTATGAAGCTTTTTGTCTTCCCATGACACTGGATTCTGTGGTATGGGAGGAAGTGAAATCTTTGAAAAGAAAAAAAAGAGAAAAGGGGTGAAAGTGAACCTGGTGCTATGCTAAAGACAAAGCGGGGGCTTTTGTGTTGATGTCCACGTCATGCTTAGACTAACATTTATAAGACAATTTTCAGCTTCCTGGATTAGGAGAACATACATATGTTTATGTAAATATTAAGGTGTAAATATTAATCACCTTCTCATACCACAGTGACAGGATGATGCAAGCATAACACATAGTAAACAAAACCAGCCAACCTAAATTATGGGATAGGAGGAAGGATTCTCACTGTCCCATTATCTGCTAAAGCAGATGGCAAATGGTTGCTTTTATTAAAACTGGTTTTGCAGTTGACTGTATGTATCTTGCTAGTCAGAGAAATATGATGAGTAGCCACAAAGACATGAAGCTTTGACCATCCTAGCTACCTCTCTCTTTGTTTATCCATACTTTTCCCAAAGTGAAATTGCTTCCAAACAGCTCTCTGGGTAACCATGGTACAGCTTTGTTTCCATTTACTGGACAGTATTAGAACAGTGTGTTCTTTCTGTGTTTCCCAATCTGATATTTGAGTCTCTCTGATGAAAGGTTAGTTTGATACTCATACAAAACAGAGTTAAAGTGAATATGCTTGCTATTGGCACTGTGCAGGGTCTGTTGAACTTGATCTGCTTAGTGTTCCCATTACTGGCTTTTACCAAGGAGAAAGTGGTGCTAGCTTCAGAGATGTTTAGTTTTGAGAGTGTGTAGCACTTGAGGTGGAAGCCATCGAATTATGGAGTGTGAACCTTTCCTTTACTGATTTTTACCTGTAAAATGCTGAGAATTAGTTTGTCAACAGAGTAAATCTGTCATTGCTTTTGAAATTCAGACGTGAGGAGGAGCTGTCTGAAAAATTATTATGCTTTTCTTTAAAGTATTTAGCAAAAGTAATTTCTCTTATATGCAAGACTTACTGAAAATTGTACAGAGTATGGAGAATTAAAAGGGGTGTGGTAGGTTAACCTTGGCTCTGGGCCAAGCATTTACTCCTCTCCCCTCCCCTTAGCAGAATGGAAGGAGAATATAGGATGAAAAACCTCATGGATTTTGAAAAGACAGGGAGATTAGATCACTTACCTATTATTACCCTGGGGAAAAGTCACTTAATTTGACAATGAAAATAGATTTGGGTAGTGAGAAACAAAGACAAAAATTAAAACCACATCTCCCCACCATTCCCCTTCTTGCCAGGCTCAGCTTCACTCCTTCACTTTTGCCTTCTCTTCCTCTCAGCTCAGCTGTGCCCTGTGGTTGGACCCAGCTGGAACCATCTGTGTTCAGCGAGGGGCAGTCCTGGCTGCTCTGCATGGGGGCACACCCTGCTGCCAAGCACCAGGGCACCTGTACCCCAGTGAATGGGCTGTAACATCACCTCCTCCCAAGCACTTCATCTATTGTACAGAATTTTTTACAATCTAAATGCTGGTACTATGGGAAAGTTGTTCTTCATGGTTCTTTTATTCAAATGAGTGCCATGAGGCTTACTGCAATTTTTGGGCTATCTTTATATGCAAGCTTACATCTCTATCAAAGTTCACTCATTGACCAGAATTCTTCCAGCCAAGACTCTAGTGAAAATTTTTCCCCCAAATTGAATTGTAAAGCTTGAAGGGTAAAGTGGGTCAGACAGATCTGCAGGAGAGGCCCTAGGGAAATAGAGGCAGAAACATTAGGAAGACCATGTTTGTAACACTCCTGCATTCTCTAATTAGCTGTTGAGTTAACGTATGGTAACAGAAGTACTGAGCAGAATACAGGCCCTGTGTTTCTTTCCAGGTGTCCATGGTGGATGCTATTCCAGGTCTCATAAATGCAATTCAAATGATTCAGAGTATCTCTCAGTATTACAACACGTCTGAAAAGATATCCTCACTGTTTGTGAAGGTTGGTGCTACAGTGCAAAAGGAAATTGTCACAGATTTTTTTTTTTTCTATGTTGTTGCTTGAGGGAGAGACAGAAAACACAAAGGGACCAAGCAATTGAAGCAATTTAATGCTCTTTTTAAATGCATAGAAAACTGGAAATAGTGATAAAACTATTTCAAAGTTAGAACTTACTTTGCTTTCTGTAATTTGTAGTTGTATGAATTTTTTTCTTGAAGATCGGGGCTAATCTGAACCCTGACGTGAATAGATCGGGGAACTTTTTGTTACAATGAGTTTTGCCTGTGGTGAACTGTGTTTTGTAGAACAAATCATATTAAATTTATATAGACTTTAAACCTCCTTATGTTTGCATAAAGAAGGAAATGTAGTTGGAAGGATAACCTATCCTTTAATGGTCATAGTCATGTCAGACCTTGATTTTACTTTTGCTTTCAGATGTGCCAAATCTCATGACTGTAGTCCTCAATGTCATTTCAAGGTTGATACAAGGTGTTTAGGATGAGCATAATCAATAATATTTTGGTGGCGTAGTGATCTGGTGGCTGGATATTGCAAGTAGAACAGTCTATGTATGTGGCTAGTATTTGGTATTGGTATTTTGTAGGCTTTAGTGGAGTCAGGTGGTATGGGATGAGACTGAAAGAAGGGGCAAGATATGATTTTTCTTGTTTTTTTCACAAGATTAAAATTGCTTTTAGGTGACCAATCAGATGATCACAGCATGTAAATCTTACATTACAAACAACAACACGGCCACCATCTGGAATCAACCACAGGAGAGAGTTATGGAAAAGCTACAAGCAGCCATTAGACTTAAACAGGTAGGTGGGAAGAGCATGTAGAAAACAGAATATAAGGTGAGATTTAGGAGGGCATGATTAGGAAAACTTTATTTTATATGAGCAAGCAATTTTGTAATGAAGGAAAATGAAGTGATGGAAAAATACTTTTTGGAACTGAAGTGTTTATGTTAGACCTAACAGTAAACTTTGTCCAGTGTCTGATCATTTAGAAACAGGATTTTGATGCTTAGCCTAACTTAACTATGCTTCTTATATGAGATTTACTTGGATTTGCATGCCTGAGTTTCTCCAGAAGTTTTCTTCTCACGTGATGAGGAGGGATGTGTGATGGAAATGAAAACAGAGGCAGTGACTGACCTGAATATATTCCGAAGATATATATTCAGGTCCATATATATATGGACAAGCTATACCTTTAGAAAGGGCAATTTAGTGAACTGGGGAGAACTCAGCTGTTCAGGTTGTATAGACTTGCTGGGAAGATAGCTTTTATTTTTTTGCATATGCTTCCACAACCATTTTTTTTTTTTTCCTCCTCCTTTAGAACATAGGATCATAGGGTAATTCAGCTTGGAAGGGTCCTCAGCAGGTAACTAGTTCAACCTTCTGTGCAAAGCCAAAGCAGGGCCAGCTATGAGATTAAACTTGATTGCCCAGTCCTTTCATCTACTCCTGTCTTGAAGTTCTCCAAGGATGGAGAGACTGCACAGCCTTTCCAGGCAACTTCTTTCACTGTTTGACTGTCCTTAGGGTGAAAGATTTTCTCCTTGCATCCAGTCAGAACATCTTCTGTTTCAGTTTATGCCCATTGTCTCTTGGTCTCTGTCCGTGTGGTACTGTGAAAGGTCTAGCTCTGTCTTTTTGATAACCTCCCTGTAGATATTGGAAGGGTCATATTACATTTTCTTTGTTACTGCTTTTTGATCCCTTAATCATGTGTGCGTGGAAGACTAGAACTTTATCCTGACACCTTCTGAACCAAGAAATCTTGCATAGTTCTCGCAAAAATTAGTGTAAATTTATGTGACATGTTGCCATCAGCAATGATGAGTAAATTTGTATATTTCTATAAAGATATAGCAAATTATTCAGTTGCTATATCTTTATTTGAGTCTTATTCATTATGAAAGTTTTCAGAAAATCAATAGATTAAAATTTAAAATTTGTAACACTAACAATTTAGGAAACTCTGGGCCCTTTGTGTCAGTATATTCAAGTGGGGTTGTTCATACAAATATGTGATAAAAAAACCCCAAACCATTGTATTTTGAAGAGAATTACTCTTGAAAGAAACCATTTCAATCAAATCTGTCATATATGAAACCTGACTTCAGCAAGTATATAATTTTAACATGTTTGGAGTAAGGTTTGTTCCTGGTTAAGAAAGCAGAATGAAAACTGGAAGCTGTTATGAAGCAGCATTCTAACTTCAGAAGAGTTTTTGTTCTAGAAAGTGATTTTTGAAAATTTAAATCATTATTACTCAATAGAACTACTTAGCACACAATCATTATTTTCAGTCTCTGAAAACTGTAATCTGGGTTGTCATCTTGCATATTCAGTAAACACATTCAATAAAGACATCAAGCCCTCATATAAAATGGAGGGAACAGAATTTTATGCTAGCTAAGGATGGAATGTACAAATACATATATGTGCATTTGATAAAATGCATGATCCTGTAATAGTATTGCATTAGTTTTCAGAGACAAATTCTGTTACTATATAGTATTCATGGTTGTTTATTGATGAAACTTCTACTTACTATCGTTAGGATAGTATCTGTGTGCATAAATTTTGTTCTAGCTGATGATGGAGCCTTTTATTATATGCTTGACATTCTTTTAAATTCTTTGTGTTTAGGAGTATCAAAATTGCTTTCACAAGGTAAAAGAGAAATTGGAACAAAATCCAGCTGAAAGACAGTTTGATTTTAGTGAGATGTATATCTTTGGAAAATTTGAAACCTTTCATCGGCGTCTGGTAAAGATAATAGATGTTTTCAATACTATGAAAACCTACTCAATTCTACAGGAGTCTAAAATAGAGGGATTGGAAGGAATGATCACTAAATATGAGGTACACAGTAAATTTTGGATAATCTGTCAGTCTGACTTGAACTTTGAACAATAAATAATGATGAAAATTAAAAAGTGTCAAGAATTAATTCTGCAAGTTGTGCTAAAATTAATGGGTAGTAGCGATGTAAATATGTGATTGTTGGGGAAGCGAGCAGATAAGATGAAAAGGGGCAGGTGGACATGTGAAAGGTATGTTAAAATTAAAGTTGGTTGAAAAAAGCAACAAAATGAGGGGACTTTGTAACAGGAGTAACTGGAGCTATGGTTCTGTGTCATGATCAGGAGAAAAAGTGAGAAGTGCAACGTTTCTGTCTTTACAGATGTTTTGCTAGCAATGAAAGTGTATTGTGATGAAAATCGCACTGTATTAATCTCTTGCCCATTATTCTAGAGGTACTAGATCAGTGCTCTGTTGTCATGGTGGTTGATGCTGCAGTCAGATTTTGCTTGCAGCTTGGGGTGAAACAATCCCCAGTTCCATTTCTGTGCTGTATAAATACAAACAACTATAACTGTTTTCTTAAGTAATTTGAAAAAAATGCAAACCCAAGAAAACTAAAAAACCTTGGGACTCTCAGATTTACTTTGTTTAAGGAAACAGCGAGCTTAATTCCAGCGAAACAGATTGTTAGGTTTACTTAAAATTTGTACTCGTACTTAAAATTATACTCTAGATCTAGAGTACAATTATCAGCTTTGTGTTTTATGAGGGAAGAGTTAATTCACAGGTGGCTATCTTTAGGGTAAGGGAGGAATAGAAATGGCTTAGCTGGTTTGATCTGGAAAACTCTTTAAGTTTAGGCTTTTTCTTCTGTAACATCAAAGTTCCTTTGCTGAAGAAATCTATTCATGTTTCTGTCCTGGTCCTCTTATTTAATGAAGTTAGGCTTGAACAATGAGGAGCTCTTCTAAGCATATAAATATCTTAAATCGTGTTCTTTTCCTTCCTTCTTTCCAAGATTAACTTTCTTATCTAGCAAGTAATGTCTTCCCTGCTTTTACTGAGCCTGAGATAACTTACCCTACTGTATGTCTGTCTTAGTGCACTATCATAATTATGGTACTTATAAATATTAAAATAAATCAGAAGTATTCAATGTGTGGAGTTTGTAGACTGCTGTTAGAGGTTGCATGTGATACAGTGGCAGTACAGGCAAATATGGCATTCTAATTTGCTTTACCCTGTCCTTTTTCTTTTTGTTATGGCCATGAGTAAATTACTTTGCTTTAGTTAAATAACTGTAGGGTAAAATGTGAGGATTCCATGGTCCATCCTAGTTCAGTTCACTCCCTGTTGCAGTCTGGGGTTTTGATTATTGACTGCATCGTTCACAGTAGCCAGTTTTCTCCTTTGTTCTCTTCTGTAGTCTTCTGAGAAGAAACCTGGGCACAACTGGAAGGATAACTTGGTTCAGGACTATTCCACATGGGCAGAATAGGTGTGGGCAGCTCTAAATATTCCTGCCTTCACTGAGAGCTGTGCCAGCAGGCTTCTTAGCAACTCAGGTTGCTGAGAATTTTCAGGTCATGCTATGAAGATACTGTTTTGTATGCTGGGATACAGACATCTCATTTATTTGGGCCATTTGTATTTAAAAAGCCACCTGTGATCATTAGCCCAGGCTGTGAGGCAGTCTGCAAACTCTATACACATCTACTGCCTTATCCATTCAGCACTCAAGTCCTAAAGTAATAGCTTTGTGGGGGACCCAGTTACTGTGACATCAATTTCGTTTGGGGGGGGGTGGTGGTGGTGTGGTATTTATGTTTTACCACTTAGTTGTTATCTAGGATTTTCTTGTTTTTAGAAGAAAAGATGAAATTTTTATTTACAGCAAAGCAATAACATTGAAGTTCAACTGACTTATAATAAAATGGTAGAAGTCTGCTGTGCTGAAAATATGTTGAGCTTCATAGCTGTGCTGTGGTAAACTACTACAATTTTGAGCAGCAGTGCATCATTAAAAATACTTCAACTGTGTGTGCAGCTTGAGGGAGCTGCTGATTAAGATGTACTTTCATTTGAGTGGACAGCAGCTATGTAAAAGAAGCCAGAAATAATAGCTACTGGAATGGTGATACGCTTCAACTTTTGAACAGTCTGTTTTTCTGTGAAATCAGTTAATTTAAAGACATGATAAATGCTAATGTGAAAATATTCATATACAACATATGAAAATAAGTTGAACTTTTAAATAGAAATAATGAACCTCTGCATGAGAAATTATTTAATGGGTAACAAATATCTGATGAAAAGCAAGAGTCCGAGTTATCTGTCAGTTCTAATTGACTTAAACCAGAAGTGAATAATATAAATGAAATTCATATGGCCATTGCACCAACTTGTTTCCTGCAAATATGTTGTTTAAGAGGTTTGCTTATATTGCTCAGCAAATGCTGGGTAATGGCTCAGCAAGTGCTGGGTAATGGCAAAGGTAAAATGTGAATGTGCATGGCCTATTGTGCTAAATATTTTTGTGTGGTAAATCTTCTTGTTAAGAGAATTTCTGGTGATAATTTTCTTTTTCTGTGAAACTGCTTAGAGCATTGTTGATATCATGAAGAAACGGCATTACAATTTCTTGGATCAACGGAAGACTGATTTTGACCAGGACTATGACGAGTTTTGCAAAGCGATACAAGATCTACATGTAGGTCTTATGATTTAAATAATAATTTAGTTTACTGATGAATCCTTATGAAGACAAAAATACCTCTGAGTTATCACCAAACAAATTATGCATATTTCAAAGTTCGTGTTCTGAAATTGAAAAAATATTCTCATATATCTCCACTTTAAATCTTGCATTTTTTATTTGACTTGCAGACCAGTTTCATGGAATAGGCTAGAAAGGGACTTGAGGGACTCCACCAAAAGGGTTTTCCATTACTGTACTTTATTTGGAAGTTATGCTATCAAGAATAACACAAAAATTGATGATTTCATTGGGTAAATGGGAGCATAGCACAAATAAGTCAGAGAAATAATTTTTCCATAGTTCTGAAATCACAAGTTGGTGGAAGGAAAGGGTGTCTGTAGAAGAAAAAAAATTAAAATAAATGCTTGGCTCACTTTGGCTGCCAAAGAGGTAAGCAAGCATTCTTTGAGGGCTCTCAGCGTGGTGAGACATTTGAGGGTACAAAAGCTTTTGTTGGTTGCACAGCTACAGAGGGACCTTGGGGGAAAAAAAAAAAAAAGCCTTGAAAGTTGGTTGTATTTTGTTTAACTTTTGAGGGAAGGAAGAAGGGAAAAATTGATACTTATTTAGGTTAGTTTCACATAAACAAATTATGTTCTAATATAGTGCATGTTAAATCCTGTCAAATAATACCTGGCATATTTGAGGTGTGTGCCTTATGTAGTTCTCTGCTGCTGAATTGTTTGCTCTCCTTCAGGATCAATTAAGGATTTTCATGGACATTACCTTTGAAAATATTCTGAGCACTGAAAGAGCACTGAGTATGTTGAAGAAATTTGAAAGGTACTATGTCCTATCTAGATTGCTAGAATTCTGCCAGGCAGTGGAAATAACTGAGGGTGGTGGGATGTAGGAGGAGCAGAGCAGGAAGCATATCCTTAAATATAAACAAAAATCAACTCAGCCTCCTCTCACTCAACTGTTCAGCTTTGTTAAGGCATGTCTTCTCATCAGTGTGGGTAAATAAAAAAACATTATTTGTATTGGAAAATGCAAAATATGAGCAGTCTTTGAACTTCATCTTTCAAAATTACTATAAGTACAGGAATACTTTATGGCTATTAGCATATTTGCCTTAGCTTTGACCTTGAACAATGACATAAATTTGTTATCACAGTGCAGTGAGACTAAAATGCTCGTATTGGGAAAGAGTGAAATTTGTCTTGATAAATTCATGTTGTGGCAAAGCAGCCTCAGTATTACATCAATTTTCATCAGTATCGCATCAATTTTCTTATAATATTGTGTTTAATGGAGTACACTGCTGGTGTCGGATTGGTTACAGTTTGCTGCGCATAATTTTAGCTCAGTGTTTGGAAACAGTGACAAAACAGAAAATGTGTAGGCTTACTTGGAAACATCGTCTGGTCTAAATTTTGGTTGCTGGGAATCAGGATGCGACAGCATTTGTTCAAGCTTTAAATCTCTGCTGCTAAAGTAGTTACTTTCAAAAGAATACAAGGGAATTGAGAATAACTGTATTTTCCAACAATACATCAGAAGAATTTCAGAAGTACCGAAGGAATTTTTTTAATGATTATTATTTTTCTAAGCAGATTACAAATCCCGAACCTTGGCATTGATGAAAAGTATCAGAAAATACTTCAAAACTACGGTCATGACATAGAAACAGTCTGTAAGATCTACACTAGGCAGAAGCAGGACCCTCCACTGGCACGTAATCTGCCTCCAATAGCTGGTAAGATCTTGTGGGCACGCCACCTATTCTGTAGGATCCAGGAGCCCATGGAGTCTTTCCAGCAGCACCCGGCTGTTCTGCAGACACCAGATGGCAAGCGTATAATCCGCAGCTACAACAAAGTAGCAAAAGTTCTTATGGAGTTTGAGGTGATCTACCACAGGGGATGGCTTCAGCAGGTAAAATACCTGATATTTATCAGGGTATTTCTTTAAAAATATGTGGTGAATTTTTTTTGTTGTTAGACTAATAACATCTAGCTTTACAGACCAGATTGGATTCCTGTTGTTTCAGGCCTCAGAGAAACACGGGGTTACAGCGGTGTGAAGGAATCTCTGCTTAATAACAGTAGTCAGCTATGCTAAGCTGGAGATTTAGGATGCCTCTTAAATGAGGGATGGAATAAGAAAAGGTGCTTTATAAGAAAGTGATTCTATTAATAAACAATATCTGTACTGCCTGTAGCTGAATTTAGGAGCAATTGAAAGACCTTCATTATAACTAAGAAGTTATAATGAAAAATATTTATTATGGAAATATATAATGAAGATTCAGTGTTAGTCTTAGCTGCCCCTCTGTCTCTGCCATGTCCTGCTGACTCTGATGCAAGAAGATCCTGTGTGCAGAGAGCAGTTTTGTCAGCTGGTTAGCTTAAGGTTAAAGCAGACACGGAGGTTTCCTCTGGTCTGGACAATATGGATTTTGGTTTTGAGTGATAATCCATGGGTACATGTAGAAAGCATCCAATCTCAACAGATAGAGCATCCTGTAGAACTAATAGCATACTCACTACACAAGTGTGTTTTGAGCCTGTTGTGGGTTAACCCTTGGTAGGCAGCTAAGCACCGCACAACTGCTTGCTCACTTCCCCCACCCACCCCCAGTGAGACAGGGAAGAGGAAAGGAAACGTAAAAGCAAGAAAACTTGTGGGTCAAAATAAGAAGTTGTTTATTAAGTAAAAAAGAAGTGGAGGAAGCGAGAAAAAAACCAGAAGTGTTGCAATCACTCACCACCTGCAATGGTAGACCACTGTCGGGATAGTTCCAGAGCAAAAGATGGCTAGCGCCCTCAACCCCTGCCTCTCCCTTTTTATTGCTGAGCGTGATGTTATAAGGCATGGAATATCTCTTGGGTTATTTCAGGACATCTGCCTGGTTCTGTTCCCTCCCAACCTCTTGTGCACCGCCTCCCAATGTATTCACTGCAGGGGGCAGAGTGATAAACAGAGGAGGCCTTGATGCTGTGCAAGCACTGTTCAGCAATAGCTAAAACATTAGTGTGTTATCAGTGTTTTGATTACAAATCTGAAATGCAGTACCATACATGTGGCTGTGAAGAAAATTAACTCCATCCCATCCAGACCCGGTACAGAGCCATTTCATTTCCAACCAACCATTTGGTAAGGCACAACACTTTGTAGTCTGAATATTCTTCAGAAAACAGGGTTTACCTTAAGTTCCAAATCTCATTTGGCTGATTTTGCCCACTAGGGTTTTGTACATAGAACCTCCAACTACTTTCATATTGTCAGATGGCTTCTGGAGGGACTACTTTATAGCCTTGACATCTCTGCAAGTTTCTACTATCCTATTGGCATGTTTTCTACCTCCAGTTTCTTTGTTGCCTTGTCAAAGAGCATGTTGTAGAAAAAGAAGTATCAGATTCTCCAGATGACTGTTTCGAAGGTGGTGGGACAATTAGCAGTGCATCTGCCCCTTGTTCTTGGAGCTCAGCCCCAACTTTTGTACAGTGTGAAAATCTCTGGTGCTGATAAACAGCAGTCTTCTGAAAGCTAGTCTTACACCAGACCTGAGACCAGACGTTCCTGCTGTCTCTTGTTAAATCTGAATATACGAAGATTTCTGACTCTTCTTTTCCCCTTCACACTTGCATTTGCCATGAAGGTTTAAAGGATCATCAGATATGATTGTCTGATACTTTAAGTGGGAATGTTTGTGTCAATTTGGTGTACTAAAATAGAAGAAGTGACTAGAATGTTAGAGGTTGTATGATATGGTGTATTCAGACTGATTTGGCTCTGGTGCTGGGTGTATGTTACTGATGATCAATCTGGCACTGACTGCCATCTCGGAATCAAGGAACCTGAAGAGTATTAACTCAACTATTCTTTCATTATAAATTATGTTTCAGGTACATCAGGTCTAAGTGTGGCACTATCGACCTCTGTATAATTGGTCTTCCTCCTGGGCAGTAATGAAAATTGTCATTGTTGTACTTAGAAATGTCTTTAACTTCAAGTGCTTATTCTGATAAATTGAGAAGTCTGTCTTTGATTTCATGTACTTTTCACAGAGAGCTGGTATCCATTATGTTTTATAGAAGAGGAATCGTGATGCTTCAGGAAGCCTTTGTCTTTTGTTTAGTGTTTCTATGTTGGACTCAGTCTCTCTTTTGATGCCAGTGTTGTGCTGGATACCTGCAATTTAGTGGATATCCGCATTGTACCAAGTATACTGCCCCCCACCCCCCTTGACTGTTAGTTACTTGATGGTTACCACGTTGTTTATCAATTTTTTTTTTTTAATAGCTTAAGATTTAAAGCCATTATTATTTGTGCTATAGCCAATGATGTTCAACTTGGATGTATTAAAATAATAAAATACCAGTAAGTGTGAAAGTTACTATAATTCTATGGCAGTGAAAGATGTGTTCCTTCAATGTAACCCCTTATTTCTTTTAGCAATTTCTGTTATCTTAAAAATGAAAATTTCATAAGAAAACCCATAAATAGGGGAGGAGAAGATTGATAGTGGGAATAACAAATCTGAAATTCAGAGAAGAGTGCAGTAAGATTTGCTGGTGAACTTTGCATAAAAAAATTCAGGTCCTATTTAAGGCATCTGTGCTGAGTGACTTTGATGCTAGTAGATAGAGCATGATGACTTCACTGACAAAACTTGATCAGATGCTTTCTTGAAAAATGTTTGTAAAATTTCATAATACATGATACAACTGAATCAAGCAGTATAGTCAACTATATTTTAGATATTGAAAGTGGGTGCAAATTTTCAGTGTGTGTTTCATAAAAAAAGATTTAAGTATACTGAAAGAAATCAGTGGGTTGTGAAAATATTGCTTAAAACCAAGCTCCGTCTCAATGTAATGTGATACATGAAATTTGAGAAGTGAATAAAACCCAAAAAATTATGTTAGCAAAGGGGCAACTGGAAAAATATGAATAGCAAGGAAGTTTTTCATGTAGGAAAGATTTCCCTACCTAACACATGACTTCTTCCTGGTGTCAACCAAACTTTCCACGTGTGGTGGTCTATGAATTCTCTCTGTTCTAATCACATGGAGATTCAACTAAGGCAGTTAAACCAATAGTATGATTAGGCTTCCTTTTTAAGAATTAAAAAAATGATCTGTAATAGACATTAATTTTAGTAATTTTAAAAATTTGCCCAGAGGTTGGATATAATTGGGAGTTCCATTAAGGTTGGAGCATGGTATGTCTGTTAGGTAGTGGAAAACAAGTGAAATGAGAAATGAGGATAGGTTTATTCAAAAAATACTGAAGAAGTTATCTAAGATTTATTCAGTTCATCAAGGGGATTGTTTGAAGCTTTATTGCAGAGTGTGCAATAAGTTTTAAGGAAATGAGAGTTAAGATTTAAGAGGACTGAAAGTAAAAAGTCTATGCCTCTACATTTGATGTTGGACTGTGGAATGCAGTTTATGATATCCAAGAATGAACAGAAAAATGTCTGTTGGAGAAAGAAGATTGCTTAGCATTTGGGTACATAAAGAATATGTTAATAAAATTTCATTGTTGATTACCATATCAATCATTATTGTCAGCAATACCTAATTTTAGTATCTGCCAAAGTGATATTTATGTCCAAAGCAAAATACTCTGTATTGGCTCGTCTGATCAGGAATTATGACTTTGTTTTCTGCAGATTGAATTAACTAAGAGAGGACTCCAGGCATCTCTCCTGGTAAAAGCTCCAGAAACAGGAGAATTATTTGTGAATTTTGACCCTGAAATATTAACTTTAATCAGAGAAACAGATTGCATGGTTTACATGTGCCTTGAAATCCCTCCATTTGCAAGTATTATTCAACATAAGAGAGACTGGTATAAGAAGATTGTCAACAATTTGCAAGTGAGTTTATTTTAATTATGTATATGTTGTGTACATTAAGATGTCTAGGTTCTATACATATGGAAAACAAAAAAATGAAGATCAACTATTATATGTTAAGCAAACATCGGCAAATCTATTTTTTATCTTTATGACTGTCTTGAGGTGCTTCTTAAAAGAATTCCTTGGCTCTTGTTTTCTGAGAAGTGAGTTCAAAGAGGTATGGGTTTAGGGAAGTTCTGCAGAGCTTGGGAAAGAGATGAGGATGGGTGGGAAAGGAGACTTACATCATGCCTTGCTCTGTTGCCTGCTTTCTAAATGATAAGCAATTTATATTTCATCCAGTAATGGAGTCAACATTGGATACACTTTGTCCTGAGAGGATAGCTCGGAGAGAGGAACAAGTGGTATGCTTTTAAAAAGTGTAAAGCATCCAATGAGTAGCAGCATATTTTCTGCACCAATGTTTTACACAGATGTCTGTGGAATAGATTAAAAAAGAGAAACTAAAACTTCCCTTTCTCTTATCTCTTAAATCCTTTGGAACATTTTCTGCCTATGAACAGAGAAGGTTCTCAATGACTCAAGAAAAGGATTCTATAGCTTCAAAGGACTACTTGATTCTGAATGAGAAAGAAATGTCATATTAAGTCATAAAGTTATTGCTAGGAGTATTTTTTGCCACCATGTGAAACCATGTGAAATTAGATCAGTGGGTTAAAGATTCATTAGAATCCAAATACCATATTAAAATTCTGTTAAGGCTGGTCTAGTAAAAGTGTTGATCAGTTGACTTAGAAGCTTTTTTTTTTTTTAATTTTTTCCCTTGTGCTTTTTGTCTCCTGGAACATGCATTTAGAGATTGAAATTTGCAAAACTTTTTCTTTGTTGTGATTTAACCCCAATAGGCAGCTAATCATCACAGCTGCTCACTTACCTCCTCCAGTGGGATGGGGAAGAGAATCCAGAGGTTAAAAGAAAAAAAACGTGGTTTGAGATAAAGACATCTTAATAGGGAAAGCAAAAACTGCATGTGCAAGCAAAGCAAAATAAGGAATTAATTTACTACTTCCTATTAGCAGGCTGGTGTTTAGCCATCTCCAGGAAAGCAAGGCTGTATCACAGTTGCTTGGGAAGACAAACATCGTAGTTCAGAATGTCGCCCTTCCGTCTTCTTCCCCCAGCTTTTATTTTCAATCATGATGCCATAGATATGGGATATCCCTTTCATCAGGTTGGGGCAGCTGTCCCGGCTGTGTCCCCTCCCAGCTTCTTGTGAGTCCCCAGCCTACTCACTGGTGGGGTAGGGTGAGAAGCAGAAAAGGTCTCAGTGCTGTATGAGCACTGTTCAGCAATAGGCAAAACACTGGTGTGTTACCAACGCTGTTTTGATCACAGATATAAAGCATAGCACAGTATGAGCAACTATGAAAAAAATTAACTCCTTCTGAACCCAAACTAGTACAATTTACAAATAACTTTCATGCAAAGTAGTACTCGCATTATTATAAAAACCAACAAATATGAACTTCTGCCAATTAATTATTGTTTCTTAAGAATTTCAGTGATGTACATCCAGAGCAATTTTCTTAAGTTATGATAAGTATGTGTACATGAAGAAGTTAAATCAATGTATATTAACTATGCTTTAATTCTCTGCTTATTTCAGATGATGTTGGCAGAATATAAAAGAATTAAACTGAAAATACAACACCCTATTGAACGACTGATGGCTCCTCAGTTAGCAAATGTAGATGATGCTATCCAGCCAGGTCTAATGTTGCTGACTTGGACATCCTTGAATATTGAGAAATATATTAATACAGTTTTTTACAAGCTAGGTAAATCATTGCCTTCTTCCATTAACTTCTGCTTCTTTGTTTCTATACAAATGCAAGCTATATTATGAAGGTTACTACCCTTTATATGATTTGCAATTAATTGACTTATATATGAAAGAATTAAGAATTTTCACCTGTCCTGTACTTCATGAAACCTTTGCTTTATATCAACACCTTCTTTTTGTCTCATGTATTTGTCAAATTTTTATTAATATGGGTGGGATGGCAGTTAGGATTAAACCAAGCATAAAATAGTTTGCAAAAAGGTCCTGTATATTCTAAATTCAAAGAATGATAGCTACTTTTTAAAAGACCTTCTAAGTTTCAGCTTTTCCTAATCTTGCCTTTTGTTTCTATAATATACAAAACAAGTTCTCAGGGAATATTATCTTGACTGAGTGGGCACTGTCACCACTCAGTAGCTTTTCATATTAACCTTTTTTTTTTTTTAACATCAGTCTCTTTAAAACTAATGCATGCATTTCTTAGACAACAGCTGTAGAAAACAGATGAGCTTGTAGTCTTTTCAAAAGATTATCACAAGATCCATTGTGATACATAGTGTTTCTGAAGATACCAAGTTCCTTTTGCTTCGTCTTAATTCCTACATCAAACATATTTTGTTTTTTGAAATGATGTAAGTAGTTATAGTGGGAATTTTCTTTATTTGAAATATCAAATTAAAATGCATTTTGGATGCTAACCTGACTTTATGTTCAATTTAAATCTGAATAATACAAGTAGTTTGAGTCTGGAACAGACACCTTGTTGATGTTTCAATTTCGGCATTGAAAGCAAATTGCTATTAAACTGTGAAAATTCTAGTGATTTTTTTTTTTTTATGTTGACTCTTATTTGGCTTCCAACATTTTTTTGAAGGATAGACATTTTATTTGTCAAAAGTTTCTGTTGTTAGTAATTTCTCTAAGTGGTAATTAATTCAAGCTATAGGAGAAGGGGAAGTATTCCTGGACCTCAGGTGAATTTGAATGTCTTTGCTTGAAATGCATGTACTTTAAGCTCACCTTATAATATTTTGCCTATTATCTTTTAGAATATGGAGAGCATCTGCTAGATGAGCATATGTTATACAAAACATTAATTTTTATTTCAATGGTGAACCTTGCCATAGAAGTTTAGATGTTTCAAGTAAGCTGGTTAAGTTGTAGAATTAATATAAAATTGAGTATGTTGAAGTAAAAATTTAAGTGGGACTCTGCAAGGACTATTTTTTCAAAATTTTAAGCTTGTTTTGAATCTCTGTTTGCTTCAAAAGCTGGGCTGGAGTTGTTGCTTGATCGAGTGAATGACTTGGTTGAATTTCGTATTGATGCTGTCCTTCAAGAAATGACTAGAGTGCCACTCTGTAAGTTGCCAGAAGATGAACCACTGAGCTGTGAGGAATTTCTCCAAAAGACTAAGGTTGTTAGATAAAACTTTAATAAAGAAGAGTTCAATGACTTTGAATTAAGATATTTTCCCTTTTTTATGTTTTTATAAAAACAGTGCAGAATTAATGAAGCATGTGTGGGAAACTGAAGTAAGGAAATACCCACTTGATATGGGTATTTTATAAGGCCCAGGACCTTAAAAAGGAACAAAAATACCAAATGCAGAGGTCTGAGCTGAGATATTATTTTCTGAGCTTATTAATGTCAAGCCAACTACTGTATGATTATTTCTTCTAAGCTTTGATATCATTCAACTTAAATGTTTTTCTTCTGTGAATAGAGTCTTTTTTTGTCATTGTTGCTTATTTGTGCCTTTAAATAAGGGAATTGCCCATCTGATGCCTGTGAACAGCTCCATAACAAGTGCACTTCATTGCATGGGAGAGTAAATACTATGGAAATGATTGTATACTGAAACTGTACACAGTCGGTAATAGGATGTGCAGAATATACTCAGAAATCCCTGAGTGAAGATATCTTAGGAAAACCCCATCCTTCACCTCATCAAAATACTTTTATGTTGAGAAGGATTAACTGTGTAAGCGTGTAAATCATTAGTCGGTTAGAAAGCTGATTAAACTATAATAAAATTGAAATGTCAGAATGGTTTTTATGAGGCAGTAGTGAGATATTCTACTATTTTAGGATATAATGTGCAATTTGTGTTTTTTTCTGAAATAAACTGCTTTGGAAAAGATTGTAGAAGATCATGTAGATAATCCCCACCCCTGGACTCTTGCAGCAATAAATACTACAAATAAAATTTTGTTTATCTTAGTGTACTTACCATTTTGGCCTTTCCTTTTTTGTCCTTTGTAACAGCTCACCTTGTTGCTAAATACAAAGTAAACCCTAAAATAATATTTTATTGAATGAATGATATTTTGTAAGCCTCACAACCCATAGGGTTTTTTTGTTGATCCTGCTGATGCTTTCCTGATAGGGCTGGTACTAGAACATATTCACTAAGGTAAATGTATGTGAGAGGCAGCACAAAAACATTTCCCAGCATTGTGTGATAATTGATATTGCTTAATGTTGATCTTCTGCAAGAAAACTGAAACTGGTACATAGCAACTACAAGACCACAATAGCCAATCAGTTTGAGTTAGCAGAGTAAGTGGTATACTCGCCCCAGTTATGGGTAAAATGAAAATAGTAACAGTGTTTGTAAGCTTATCATAGTTTTTAATTAGAAGAAACTAGAAATAAGTTATGTCACTTAACAGGTGTTTTTAATTTTCCCGAAGAAATTGCTGCAACAAAAGTAGTTACAATGTCAAAAAACCCCTAGAGTACTTTGTTTAGTAGCTGATATTGCAAATCAGATCTGGCTTGTTTCTCAACTAGACTGAATCATTAGGAATATCAAAGATTGTCTTAAAATTTGGAAATGACTGCATCTTGCTAATGGCTGAATTTTTCCAAATATTGATTTTTAATTACACAGAGGTAGCCAGGTTTGATTAAGCTTAAAGAAATAGGTGCTGAAAAGGAAGAAGAAAATTAAAAGGCAATTATAGTTAAAAATGATAATTGGTTAAAGCATACTTGATCAATTTTACAGTATTAAAGAAGAAAATGCGCAATAATTAAAAAAAAAAATAAATCTCAATTTTATTAAATCTCATTCTTTGATTCCTTCTCCCCCCAGTGATTAAGTTTCTTGTTTATTCTAATCATAAATACAGCTTTTGATAGATTTTATCAAAGTGGGAAATACAATTTTCCAATACTCCTTATGGAATAGCCAAGTAATGTGAAATGGCAGTGATTAAAAGAAAGGTTAAATAGACAATAACTACACCAGAAATTTCAGAAAATTAAGCAGCACTTGATTTTGGGAGCCCTTTAATGGAACTAAGCTTTATAAACATTGAGTCATGATATTAACTATGGATGAGTCATGTGATTTCGGAAAAAAGCCATAGTAGTTTCAAAAAACATTTATGATGTCTTGTTTGGCACAACAGAGAATCCAACTCTAAATAGTTTGGAACAAACCAGTTTAAAAATAGTGTGTATTGATTTTGGTTTTCACAATTCTGAAGCCTTGATGTTTGTGTTAATAAAGGTTGATATGACCATGCAATAGACATGAGAAGCAGGAAGATAAGAGCATGTTTGTTTTGGTTTGATAACAGGAACTCTGTGTAAAAGGTTCTCAGACTTTACATTTAAAAAGCTCGCTGGTGGAAGATGCTGCTAATGAGCTGATTAACATGTTACTTGACACTGAGGTACAGGTCACTGGTGAAATAAGGGGGAAAAATACAGGTAAGATTGTACTGTAGCTCCGTACTTATGTTTCTTTTGCATGCTGATAGTATGTGTTGGGAGATATTGTAGTTGACTGAAGTATCAATCTAAAGACTTTTGTTTGAATTTGCCTGGATAATGGATCATCTAGCGATCATCTATCATCTGCAAAATATGTTAATATTATCAGTCTAACATGAATGTTGAAATATTCATGCCATGGAAGCAGCTATTTACGGGTGTTCACAAATTGCTGGACTTCCTAGAGAAATAATATTTAAATTTGGGTGATAATCATGCCTGTTTGCACTGAGTAGAGAAGGTGGGTAGGAGTAAAAGGACTGTTACATTGAGGTACAGATTACAAATGATTATAATCTGCACTTCCATAAAAGTGAGCTGTATTTCAGACATCTGTGGAGGTGTTGCTTTATTGTGTTTTCAAGTACCTGAAGTCAATTAACTAACTAGTTTTATGATGTTTTATCAACAGAAGAGGAAATAAGATCAAAAAGCTTGGCTTCCTCCCACAATTCCAGTGAGATATGGGCTGGACTGTCTCCTCCACCAAAGAGGAAGAGAACAAATTTAGAAATATTAGAAGAAGAAGCCAATGAACTGCTTTCCTACTTCAATCATCGTAATATTGATGCCCTTTTGAAAGTCACTCGAAACACTCTGGAGACCATACGCAAGCGCATCCATGCATCTTCCATCATCAACTTCTTAGGTGGCCATTTTGCAGTACTTTGCTTTCTTAGCCTATGAAAAGAAAAATGTAAATCCCAGAACTATATATAAAAAAAAAAAGAGCCACATATGTAAAAGAGTGGGGAAAAAAAGGAAATTTGAATAAACTATCTTGTTATGTCACAACTGATAACACAGTATATTTCCAAAATAATTTTTTGCCCTTTAAGAAAAAAAGTGTCATTTCAATGCTGTTTCTCTTAGGACTGAATGTACTGTTCTGAAGCTAGGTATTATATTTAGAGCTGGACTTGATAAATGGTTACCTTTTTGACCTTGGCTTTTACCTAATACTATATGAAAAAAAAAAAAAAAAAAAAAAAGTCTCTTTCTCTTACTGATTACCTTCAGATTTTTCTATACATTATGATGGCACACTCTTCTGAAGTGTTTTCTTATTACATAATTTTAAGAAACAAAAATAAAGGCATTTGTATTTGATCTCTATAGCATATAAGGCATACAATATTATGAGATTCTAAGTTTTTGTGCCCAATATAATAGACTGACTGGGAGTACAGTCCAGATAACAAAATTATCTGCTAGACAGAGTTTAGCTGCTCAGAACAAGCTGAAGAAGAGAGAAATAGCATGGCACTTAGTTTTTGCTTGTGCTGCTGTAGACTTTGCTAATACATCTGGTAAATTACTCAGGAATCTTTTTTTCCTTAAGGAATTACACTCAATACTAGGATGTATGTATTGGTTTATATCATTACAATACCTAGTGTGATGTCTTGAAAAATGTGAACAACCATAACAACCTTATTTTTTTTTTCCTTTCATTTAGAAAATCACAGTGCTCCTAAGCAGAAAAGAAGTGCTTATCCTATAATTAGGACTAGTATTAACCTATCTATCCCTAATATTGTCATGACACCCACTTTGGATGAGGTACAACAGATGCTTAATAAAGCTGTAGATAGTATTGTGAAAGTAATGAAAGGAGTTGGACAGTGGAGTAAGGAGAGAATATCCAAGGTTTGTGTCTTTATCAACCTTTCTTAAAATTAATGTTTCAAAACTACTGCAAATAGAAAAATGAAATTTTATTTCTTCCACAGAAGAAAATGTTAGAGAGAAAAGTGGCTGTGTTGTGGTGTGAGAGCAGAGACAACGATTCTGATGATGAAATGAAAGAGACTGGAAAGAAAAACATACATGGTAATGATAAACTCTGACATCACTCAATTTGAATGTTAGGTAAATGTGATTTATACAGAATGTATTATAGGATATTAAATACAGAATGCATCCAAAGCAGTAGAACAAAGACTTGATAGATTTTAATTTACCTCGTAGAAGAAATAGGATATAATAGCAACACCAGAGCTTCTCTGTGTGCTCAGGCTTGCCTGAAGATGCTTGCCTTTGTGTGGATTTGAATAAGGGCATTTTTTGTGCCTCTCAGATTTGTACTGCTTTGGGTTTTACCTGCAGCATGTGAAAAGCTGTTAGGGTGCCGGGTTTAGCAACATAGTTGAAATTTTGAATGAGTTTGGCAAACATTTATAGTTACTGTTGCTACACAAAAGATCTTTGATAATTTTCCAGTGTGGTTTGTAACTTGGCATGCTTAAATGGGATCTTAGAACTTATGGCGAAAATCCTTTAAGAAAGGTAGTTGAACTTAGATAAAACCTGGTATTGAAATGTCTATATAAATTGCAGTATTGGTGGAGAGAGGATTGTGCAGAGGATTGAATAGGCTAAAATTTCTAAAAGGTTTTTAACTTAAATGGTTTTGTGATCAGACATGGAATTAAGTTATTGAAGGCATTAATTCAAGGCAATTTAAGATGGTATCTTTGGTTGCTGGGTTTTTCTTGTATGAAATGGCTTAGAATCAAGCCCAATTGTTCTACTTTGTACTTCATGTACTTCAAAAGTACATTGAGTCTAAAAAGTAGGAAAGCAATGCTTGAATTGTTAAGAAATGAAATTGATCTTTCAAAACTAAGAATTTCTCTTGCCTGGATGAAATAAAGAATGATGGTAAATTCAGTCTTGTGGGTATTTACTAACTAAAGGACCTCCCTTAAATCTTTCTTTCCTTTTGAGGACTGGCTATAATAATCTTCTCAGATTTAATGTTAATTTGTGTTTTAAATTATTAACTGTGGTCTACCCCACATTATTTCAGAAAATACAAATATTTATGGATTTGCACAATGCTGACATATCAATAAATCACTTAGGTGCAGTGTACAGGGTAAACCTTGGGAAGAGGCAAGAGAAAAAGAAAGATTATATTTGAAAGATTGGAGTGGAACTTGTTCCAGAGTTGATAGAATACCTAGATGAAATAAGTTGCCTAAAATGGAGAGGTTTATGAATTTGTGGCAATTGTATTGGCCACCTAGACTTCTAATTGTCTTTTTGATTAGCAAGAACAATTAACTGTAAAATACATGCTTATTGAAAAATAGGTCATAGTTTTTGTCTGTAGGAATTTATTTGGCCTAAACAATATGTCTGTCCTAAAACTGCTTTTTTATTTTAATCTACCTTTATAGATAGTGTGTCAGATGCAGCATCACTCAGTTTGTCTGATCCAGTGCAAAGCCAGAACTACTTCAAGAGCATTTCAGAGAACAAAGAAATTATTAAATTAGTATCTTTACTCAGCACAGCTATTAATTCTACAAAAGGGGTAAGACAATCGAGATGTTAATTTAATATCACCAACTAAGGGATATTAATGTATTACTTTAATATCCTTGGGCAGTAAGGGTAGGCATTTGAAGCAGTGTTTAAACATATGAATAAAAAAGTGTAGGATGGTGGACAGAAAACATGTGGCTTCAAATCTGGAAATACGCTTTGAAAGCGTAACATACGTTATGTGTACTCTGCTCAAAAATTTATGAGGTTTTAAGTATTACATAAAGTAATGTAATACTTTTACATTAGTAAAACTTATGTCTGATTAAAACCATACTTCCATTGGTAAAACATCATGAAAAATGCTAGATATAGTTGAGTTGTGTGTACAATATAGAACTGGAAGTAATTGTACAAGTGTGTTAAATACAGTTTTATTCACATAAAAATTCTAATGAAACCATCATGACTTCTGGCTCATTATGGAGACTTTATGAAGACTTTTGGAAGAAAACTGGCTGTCAGCTTGGCATTTGTAAAGTGCTATATAGGATTTGATACTGGAAGTTAGGAGATTAAGGAATATGCATAATTTCCTTACTATTTTCTTATTCTGTGCAATCTCTAGTAAACTCTAGGTATTGATCTGATGTTTTCTTTGGCAAATTCTGCATCAGTTCCTCCCGGATTATCTTTCATAGCAGTTACTTCTCATTTACATTTTCCAGAACTGAGAACCAGAAAAATAATTCTGTTGCACACTCCTTAAATGATATTCAAATTAAAGATACCTGAATTGAGTGTGGAATTTAATGTCAAGATTACCCACATCATACATATAAAAAATGTCTCATAACTTCATTATTTGAGAATGAATTGTGTTACTGCTATTCTTGTTATGTTGGGCCTTGGAGCTCAGGTTTCAGTTGCTAATTGTCATGGTTTGAACTTGGCTGGCAGCCAATCACTAACTTTTTCCTGCCTGGTGAATAGGGCAGGGACAAAAAGGAAAAACTCATAGATAGAAATAGAAAACCAGTTTAATGATGGTAACAAAATAATAATAGGAAGTACAAACAGGTAATGCACAATGCGCTTGCTCACCACCTGCCAGCTGACACACAGCCTACCCCTGCAGTGATCCTGAACAGGCTGAAAATTCCAACCAGAAGGGGGAGAGAACCTTCCTCCTTTTATCTACTGAGCATGGCGTCACATGATATGGAATACTCCAATGGCCAATCTGGGCCCTACACTCCAGCTGTGCGCTCTCCCAGATCAAGAAAATTAACTGTATCTCCGCTGAAGCAAGGACACTAGTCCAATAAGTGGCAGGGAAGGACAAGTGTACTGTATCCTAGTCTTAAAGGAGGATTTTACTTACCACTGGTTCCTAGGATTTTACTGACTGAAGAATCACTTAATTGGAAAATACTGTAACTCATTCGACAAATTGAATGTGATTAGCGTACAGTTCCTGGCAAGGCTTGTGGTTGCAAATGGAATTTGCTTTAGATAAATTTACCAGCAGCCTTCTGTTTGGTGGGATGATGCAACATGCTCCACTCTGGAGTTCTTAATGTATTCTAATGAGTAGATGCTAAGAAATTATATATATGCTATACATAGAATGCTAAGAATCTTTGAATTTCTAATGTGTTTCAGGAAGTTCTTACAGCTTTGGAGAGTTTTAGTTGTTACCACCATATATGGCAGAGGGACAAGGAAGAAATCATTGATAAATTAATGATGAGAAACCCACTACTCTCTGATTTTGAATCTGAAATTCTACATTTCCAAGACTTGGAGCTGAAAATCAATTCTGAGCCTGAATACATCTGCGTGGGAGCTGTTGCACTGTACACTGGTAGAGTTCAGCTTTCCACTTCTCTCTGTCTCCTGTGGGAAGGAGAGATGGTGCTTGGTTTTGGATGGGTGATCTAGATTAAAGCTGAAAAGGAGAGAGATAATGGCTGTTTGCTGTTTTGGCTGTAAATGCATGCAAACAAAACACTAATGCAAGGGTATCTGTGAGGCTCAGCTGGAGGTTCTTCCCCCACCTGGGTGCTTCTGCTCACTTATGGGGTGGATAGTAGATGCTTGCCTATCCTTCTGTCACTGGCCCTCATAGGCACATATTTTATGGGAGTTAGATGATACATTTATGTTACTTTTCTCCTTGCCTGGCTGCATGTATTGAGACAGCTGAAAAGCCTTCTATTTAACACAGTTAAGTGAAACATGCGTGTTGCTGATTCCCTTTTTGCAATGAAAGCCAGGCCTCAAATCTTTGCTTTTTTGTAGCTCAAATTCCACATCACCTAACTAAATTTTGCATAAACATTTTACATCAGTATAGCAGAAAGGCCAGTTGGGAACTGTGATGGACTGTAAGAAATGCATACAACAGGTTTTGCAATGGATGTCAAATCTGAGGAAGCAGAATGTTTTCTTCGTTAGGAAAGAGTGTCAACTGAATGTCTTTGGTTATATCATAAGGCAAAGAACTACAGAAACAGGCTGGCTGTTGAAACTCAGTGGGTGTGAGGTGGTTCTGATATTTAATAAATCAAAAAGATTATCAGGTGAAAGAGCTAAGCATGAGAAGCAGCTCTGTGTATAAAGGAATACACACAAGTGAAATCAGCAAAATGAATAATTAGTTAACAGAGTTGAAATTATATCTAGCTAAAATTTTATCTAATGCTTGTGTTGGTATTTATTTTTGACTCTTCTATTGAGAACTGTGAGGAAGAAATTTAAATTTAATGGCAGAGTTTTAGAGAAATGGACTGAATTGTTGCAAAATTGGGCAGCAACTGAGCAAGACTTCAATTTTCTCTCTAAATATTCATCACTTGCTTCCACTGATGCTACAGATAAAACTTATAAAAATTAAATGCTTGCTGGACCATTTGGTTTCATTAAATGTCAGATAAAACTTTCTGTTTCTTCAGCTTCCATAATCAGGCTGCTACATTTCTCTGTCACATTATTTCTTTTAAAGATAAATTTTTGAAAAGACTTTAGACTTAAATGAGAATATTAACCAATTTGTTAGTGATGTGTATGACAGGAATGTGTATAATGCTATATGAACAAGATGACAAGTGTGAGGTTGAGCCTCATCTTTCCAGTAGGAAAGATGGTATATTCTGAGAAGACTAAGAGGAAAACAATCCTGAACTCCAAGCAATCCTATAAACTACTCATAGGTGTCAGTGTAATTTCATCTTTTCTGTACATGGATGATTAGACTGAAAAACCAGAACTGGGAGTAATGAGAACACATATTGAAAAAAGACTAAAAGTATATCTTAAAAAGTACATACAATATCTAAATATCTATTTGTTGTTCAATGTTTTTTTAGCTGATCTGAAGCTAGCACTGAGAGTGGAAACCAAAGCCTGGATGACTTTGCTGGGGTGTCATTGTAATAAGAAGTACAGAACAGAGATGGAAGTAATTTTTGCTTTTATAGAGGAAACTGGCAAGAAGTTAAATCGCCACATCAAGGATCTGGATGATATAAGAATAGCCATGTCAGCTTTAAAAGAGATCAGAGAACTACAGATCTCCATAGACTCTCAAATTGGGCCCATTGAGGTAGTTAACAGGGATGCTGTATGTATGGGTACTGTTTCAACACAGCGATTATTTTCTGGATTAAAACTTAACAGTGCACTTTGAAAAGTTTATGATGTAATATGTATTATATGTTGGGTGTCAGACCTGTTGTGGAACTTTGATTTGGACAAATGTATACTTGCTGAGTTGAGACGTGGTTTAATGAATAGTGCAGAAATTGAGTGATTTAAGTAAGAGGAAGATAAGAATACAAATATTTAATGCAAGAAAGCTTTTAGTACTTTGTGGAAAGAGTCTACATACGAAAAGCATTGTTTGTGCTATTTTTTTCTTTTTTTTTTTTTTTTAATAGTTTAGCATACAGAAGAGAAGAAAGCTAATGTTAGGCAGATTACGAGATTGTGTGAGAGTGATTGTTTTATCAGCTACATCACATGTTGTAATAAACACAAGCAATTGACTTCCTTAAAGAAATTCACTTACTAGAATACATTTATTGAACATCTTACAATGTAGGGACTTCTGGTCAAATGGCAGAATTAAAAACAGATAATAACTGTTTCTCTGCATTCCTGACCAGAGTATGGATTTAAGAATACTATAATTTGGCAAAATGCACCATTGACTAGATGTTCAGTAGAGTATTTTTTTTCTTAAGACATGTTTGTTATTCCTGATTGCCAATAATTTTATTATCAGGTTTGTGTCTTTATTGTTTTAAATAAAGGTGACTTAACACAGAATTCTTATTTACCAAATGTTCACAAGTCTAATATTTTGTTTTGGAGATGCAAAAACTGTGTTTGCTGTCGTGCAAATGTCTTGCACCTGTGTTTTCTGGTTCTGTTTTCTCTGAGCTGAGGTAAATTACGGAATGCAGCATGTACAAATAATGGAAATGAGTATGGAGCCCTATCATATTTTGAAGAATACAGCTCAGAAGGAATGTATTTCTCAGCCTTACAAGCTGTGAGGGTCTCCCTTGTGTGAAGGAACAAAAATAGGACAAATAGATTATAGTGAAAAGCAAAGCATATCTGCAGCTAGAACCTTCTGTGAAATTGTCATAGGTAATGGTGTCACTTAGGAGATGACATTTTGGAAGTTCCTGCTCATGTGGAGCCAAGGCAAAGGCCTAAGCTTCCAATTCTGCAAGCAGGGGCCTTGAGTGCCTAGGCACAAGGAGTTATGCTTCAAATTTTTGAAATGGAGGCTGACGTTTTTCCGCATAACGGGGTGGTAGACAGTTTTGTTTCCATTTTTGCAATTTGCCTGCAATTTGATCAAACTGGAAAATGTAAATGGAAATAATTCCACTTTATACAAAAATTTTCAGAAGAAACTGTTATGTCACAAGGTTCACAGCTACCCTATGCTGTGTTAATTTACAGTAAGTGAATTTCAGTTGTGTTTTTGTGAAACCTGACTAAGGGTTTCAGTATGTGGGGTGTTTGTATGTTGGTAGCACAGGTGAAGAATAGTGTTCTGAGAAAACAAAGGACCATTAAGTAGATTTTAAAGTAGATTCCTCATGAATGTTGAATAGTTATAACATTTGAAATAGTGGCAGCGTATTAGTTGTGGTAAATTTTGATGTGGTTTCCCAATTCTTTTTTGTTGAAAACGTGAAGTAGGGATTAAAGGTCCTTATGGAATAGGAGTTTGTTTGCTTTGCTTACTTGAAGGCTTAGATGCTCTCTTATGGCTCACCTCCTGTAATATTCAGGTGGGTCATAGCAGATAACTGAAGACATGAATCAGAAAAATATTCTCATTAAAACTAAACTAAAACCTGTAGACTTAAGAAATACTTTAACTGGAAATAGATTTTTAGAGAGGTAGATTGCACTAGGGCAAATAATCTATTAGAAAGCAGAATGCTATGTGAAAGGTAAGAAGTTAAGGAGAACTAGCTAGTTTTCATTTTGATGTTTCTTCCAGTTTGGTATTGGTTTGCCAGATTGTGATAACTGCTGTGCAAAAAGAACAGATTGTTTAACAAATCATTCTCTGTTCTTAAAAATTTAAAATGTTAGCATACGTATATGTGTAAAATTAACTTCAGTTATCATTTTGTGTATCTTGATCTATCTTTCCAACAGGAATCCTATGCTTTGTTAAACAAATATGGTCTACTTGTGGACAAGGAAGAGATAGAGAAGGTGGACACTTTGCACTACACTTGGGAAAAACTGCTAGTCCGTGCAAATGAAGTGCAGAATGAGCTCATTGCTTTGCAGCCAAACTTCAGAGGAGAGCTTATTAGAGCTGTGAAAACTTTTACAGAAGAGTGTGCACAGTTCTATGCAGATTATGATCAGGCAAGTGTTTGTGGTGTATTGTATTCAAGGAGTTTTTGAGGAGCAGTGGGAGCATGGAAAGATTGTGGAGTTGACTAACTAATGGGATGTGCCTCTACTGTCTGAATACTATGCTTACTGTTGTTAATGTGGTATTTGAGTTTCAGTGCTGGGCAGGCTTTGGTTATTTTTTGTGTGTGACTAAAGTATGTAATGCTGGTGATCAGCTATTAAAGATTAAGACCTGAGACATTTAAAATTTATGATAAACAGGTAGTTAGCATGAGCAACTGTAAAGATTGGGATTAATGAGAAAATATCTTCGAATATAAGAAGTGTTTTCTGATGTTGGGTATAAATACAAATGACTTAAGCTCTTATGTTCTTTCTCAGTAGAATATAAATGAGTCAAGCTGAACCAGTCTTGTATCATCTTCTAAGTAATGTTCATTTTTACTTGAAAAAGGAGCTACCATTGCCTAGCTTTTATACCATTATGAAAAATTCTGTATTAAAAAATACAATTGTTTGCCTTTATTATTTATTTATTTAAAAAAAAAATAAAGTGCTAGTTCGAGTAGGTAACTGTGATCTCTTCATTCAGTTGTTATCTGATGTAGGGATGGAATCCTGCAGAAAATGCTGATTAGAAATAAGTTGTATTTCTATTTCTATTTCTATTTTCACTCCTTGTTTTATTTTTTTTGTTTGTTTGTTTTTTGTTTTTTTTAGAACGGGCCAATGGTGGTTGGTTTAGAGCCTCAGGAAGCCAATGACAGGCTTACCATGTTTCAGGTACTGTTAGTTTTAAGATCTTGGTTAATACTTATTACAAGTAAACTAACGCCTGAAGGCCCTGAGAATGCAGCAGAGTAGTTATATTAATTCTCATTGATACATAGGCTTACTGATGGGGCAAAGTCTATTTTAACATAATGAAAGCTGAGTTGGTATGTTTTTATGCATTTGCAAGGAATGCTTGTTAAAATTATATTTTGTAGGATCTAAGAGAAAGGCTGCGTAGATAATGAGTAATAATTACTAGCATCAAGTATTCTAATGAGAGCCTACTCTCAAGTTGTGTTTTTGTCTGTGGGCTGTTCTTATGTTCATTATTGTGTCTTTTCCTCACAAATACATTTCTGCCCAGTCTTCTCCCTTCTCCACTTTTTTTTTTTTTTTAAGTAGTATTAAAGGTTTCCATTTAAACTGACTATTTTGCCTGTTGAAATTTTTCTTTGTACCATAATTAATTTCTGTTCCTGTAATGATGACTTCTAATGGTTTTCCTTTCCCATACTGCTATTCATTTATCTTCTTATTATGTTCCCTCAGTTATATTGCAATTGACAATTCAATTCTTTTTCCTCTGCTGCTTAAACAGTAGTAATTCTTACTTTAACCCTTCAATAAAAGAATTGCACAGCATATTTGGAGTGGTCGAATTTGTTGCATCCACCTTTCTTCACTTTGTATGTCATGCTCCACCTCTTTCATGTGCAAGCTTAGCATTTATTGTTCTATCACTGTGCCACATGGAGTAAAGGCCTCCCTGTCAACTTCTGAAGATGTGGCTCCAAGCTAACTAGAAGTTACTTTCTCTTGAAAGTTGTTGATAAACCATTGACAGTGAGAGTTATTACATCTCCTATATATCTTTCTAGTATTTACTAGTTTTTAATCACTAATGCAGATCCAAGCATAATGATAGTCCTTGAATACTTAGTTATTTAATTTAATCTTTTTCCCTTTTCTTTCTTAGAATCGATTTGATAATCTTTTTCGGAAATATATTACTTATACTGGTGGGGAAGATCTTTTTGGTTTGCCTGTTACTCGGTATCCTCAGCTGCTTGAAATAAAGAAGCAATTGAATCTGTTACAGAAACTCTATAATCTATATAACAATGTCATTGACACAGTCAGTGGCTACTATGATATTCTTTGGTCAGAATTAGACACTGCAAAAATTAACAGTGAACTTCTGGAGTTTCAGAACAGGTGAGAAACTGCAGCTGTGGTCACAATGCCTAAAATACTTTTGTTACTTCTTAAATAGGATTATAAATCATTAGCACCAATAATTGTATCTGAGCATGTATTTGTTCAGTGAAACATGAAAAATGTGAATTTTATTGAAAAATATATCCATTATCAACTTTATAAAATAAAGGAGCCAGTTTAGGCTCTAAATATTGAGGGTTATTTTTCGTTAGAGAGCTTCTTGTTTAACATTTTTTTTTGTGAGATTAGAATATATGTTAAAATTGCTGTTTATTTTGTTAATGAAGGGAAATTTCACTTGTTTGTTGAAATATTATTATTCATGACAGACAGATTCACCCTAGATGTCTAAGGCAAGTTAGTGAATTGCTGAATAGTTTTCCTACAAACTGGGATCTATTGAATGCATAGAAGCTGAGCTTGTCATCAAACCAAGAATTAAATGATTTAAAGAATTAAACCTGCGTGTTCTAAGGAACAGGTTTTTTTCTAGAGCACAGAGCAGTGCGTATCATGAGCCTCACCAAAAGATGAAATCAAGATGTAAAGTGGTTCAGTTGTTTTTGAAGATTGCTTGGACAAGTATATTAGAATTATGCAGCTACAGTCTTTGAAGGAGGAACCTGTAGGTGCCTGTTCAGCTACCAGTCAGTGAAATAGACTGGAAACAGATTTTCTCACATGCAGAATCACATACAGAATCTTCAGAATACAGGTAACCTGAATTTGGAAGATATGTGGTCTGCTGTTAAAACCATATACTGCAGTTAAGCGGGTGATAGAAAGAATATCTGAAACTTCGAAAAAGCTTGCATTATTTCTATATAGATGCCGTAAGCTTCCTCGTGGTGTAAAGGAATGGCAGGCCTTTTTTGACCTAAAGAAGATCATTGAGGACTTAAGCGAATGTTGCCCATTGCTTGAGCGTATGTCAAGTAAAGCAATGATGCCTCGGCACTGGAAGCGGATTACAGATCTGACTGAACACAACTTTGATGTGGAAAGTGAAACATTCAAACTGAGGAATATAATGGAAGCTCCACTATTGAGATATAAAGAGGAAATAGAGGTATTGTGAAGGAAGAGAAATGGATGCATGAAACAAAACAATCTGCTCAAATAGTGTAGGAGTAACAGCAGTAAGAAGGAAAACTGAATTGGAGTTGTTCAGCCTGTAGAAGAAAAGCATCTGGGGAGACGTTATAGCAGCCTTTCAGTACTTAAAAGGGGCTACAGGAAAGATGGGGTTGGACTCTTTCTCAGGGAGTGTAGTGACAGGATGAGGGGTAATGGGTTTAAACTGAAAAAGAGTAGATTTAGATTAGATATTAGGAAGAAATAAGATAGAAATTCTTTACTGTGAGGGTTGTGAGACACTGGAACAGGTTGCACAACCAGAGGTCATAGATGCCCCCTCCCTGACAGTGTTCCAGGCCAGGTTGGATGGGGCTTTGAGCAACCTGATCCAGTGGAAGGTGTCTGTGCCCATGGCAGGGGGGTTGGAACTAGATGATCTTTAAGGTCCCTTCCAACCCAACCTAATCTATGATTCTATGATTTCTAAAGAAAGAGCAGAGAAATGGACTATCACTTCAGCTTTCTGTATAAATAATGACACCAATGTATTGTGGTGTCAACTCCTCTTTTTAAATCATGCAACTTGGCCCAGGAGTTAATTTGTGAGGGTGCTTTGCTTTTAAACATTAAAGATATGAAAAGTAATCACTGTATTATCCTTTTATTCCCCCCAAAGCTAGCAATATTGTGAGGTGGTATGCAGATTATTAGCTGTGGTGCTTATATGTCTGTAGATCTTTCCACTTGATAAAAAGTTGCTCGTCAGCCTTACTAGGATTAAAGGAAATATGAGTTAGGTTTGTATACCAGAAATTTGAAACATTCATAGCTTGTTTTGACATCCTATTTATTTGAAAGGATATCTGCATAAGTGCTGTGAAAGAGAGAGACATTGAGCAGAAGTTAAAACAAGTGATAGCTGAATGGGACAACAAGACATTTATCTTTGCAAACTTTAAAGCCCGTGGGGAACTTCTTTTAAGAGGTGACAGTGCATCAGAAACAATTGCTACCATGGAGGACAGCTTGATGATTCTTGGCTCTCTCATGAGTAACAGGTAATGAGGTGGGGGGGTGGGGATAAAAATATCAGCAAGAGGCTTTGTTTTATTGAACAAATCTATTTTTTATAGAGAAGAAAAATAAACATCTAGATGAAAACTAAGAGCTTGCTTGTTCTTGATCTGTTCATGGGCTAGATCTTATTGTCTGTATCCTTCCAGTAAGTTCTTTTGAAAGCATATGGATGCAGCTCAAACTTCCTGAATTATCAACTGGACAGTGTTGGTGCAAGAAACCAGTAATGAGCATAATGGGGAACACTGCCTGGATGTGGCAGGCATCCTACAGGCATTGCTACTCTGCCCCCTGTGTTAGGTCACTGCCTCATGCTGAAGGTGCTGAAAATAATCCCAGTTAAAATGAGCTTCAGTTTGTCTGGTTTCACATGCCAAAGCCTGCAGGTAAAATAAGAAACACAGAACCTGATCATCAGGCAGATGTTCAAAAGCAAGAGTTCAATGGGTAAGCTCCTCTAGGAGTCTTGCAGCTTTCAAGACGTTGCATAGTACCTTTTTGAAACCACTTTATCTTAGAATGAAATTGAAATCTTACTCCTGTTCAGATTCTGTAGGATGAGAGCTGTGCTACACACCATGTGTACAAAGCAACAAGTTGAAGCTGATTTAGTTTATAGCTGCTAAGTAGCTGAATTGAGTGAAGTATAGGATTTTGTACTTTCATTTGTCAAAGATACAAGCAGCAATATTATTCCTCGTCCTTGTAATGTACAGACTTTCAAGAGACTTGTTTCCTTCTTGAAATAAAACAAGAGTCGTCTTTTTATTTTAGATACAACACACCATTCAAGACACAGATTCAGAAATGGGTGCATTATCTTTCCAACACAACAGATATCATTGAGAACTGGATGACTGTGCAGAACTTGTGGATTTATTTAGAAGCTGTTTTTGTTGGTGGTGACATAGCAAGGCAGCTTCCAAAGGTTTTAAGACATGCCTTTCTTCAGTTTGTTTTTGGTTGTTTTTTTTTGTTTTTTTTTTTTTTTACATTTTAAGAATAAAACTTAACTGTGATGTTGTAATTAATGCAGTAACATAAGCTGCATTTTTTTGGTACTTAACAAAACTAGTCATGCTAAGAAATTAGGTAAACAATGTCAACAGAAATATCATGTTAGAAAGAATAATAGAATTGTTTGAGCTAGTTGATCTTTCTAGATTGTAAATTTTTTTAACCAATATGTGTTTTAAGTGTTGTGCCTAGTAGTGGCCTAGTCTAGTTAGACTAGCTTAGTAGTATCTACCACTAGCCTAGTAGTACCTAGGGATCCTTATCTTAAACTTCCATACATAGCTTTTCAAATGAAAAAATAACTTTAGTTTTAGGGCATAATGAGTTTTCTTTAAGAATGGATTGAAAGAGAAAGTAGATTGCAGCCTTGACAGTCAAGTATAAAATAAGCTGTATTGTGTAAGCAGAACTTTGTTTTTCTAAAATTAAAAATCTTTAGAAGTTGGACATGGGATTACTAGTGAGAAGATTATTGGTGAGATTACTGAGTGCCAGTTCTGCAAGTAAGTGACTTTTCCCTCTTTTCGTTCCTTCATCTCTTTCACATTGTCATGTTTCAACAGGAAGCAAAGCGTTTCTCTAACATTGATAAATCCTGGGTGAGGATCATGACCCGAGCTCATGAAACACCTAATGTTGTTCAGTGCTGCATTGGAGATGAAATCATGGGACAGTTACTACCACATTTATTAGAACAGCTCGAAATCTGTCAGAAATCACTCACAGGGTAAGATTACTACCAAATCAGTCTTGAGCAGATGGTTGTGAATTGTATAAGTAGGCAAAGAGCAATTACTTGAGTACTGTCCTATGGACTTTGCAAAGCCCATGTTTTATTCTACTATGAATTCAGTTGAACTGAACAAACAGGTTCGCATGATGATACAATACTGCCAGTGAAATTGCTAGCAACTCACAAGTATTTGACTTGTGACTAAGCTGTCACTCACTGTCTATCTCTGTTGAAACCAAAGCTTGTTTCAGCCTAGTTTCAATCCAGAAGGCAGTCTAGATCTGAATGTGCTATTCAGACCCTTCATGAAGCTGGGAGAAATTCAGCATGAGAGACCTAAATAGCAAGTAACAGACTGCATGTAAAAATATTTTATTTTCCTTTAGTTTATTTTCTTTTTACTGCTGCTTACATCATAGCAAATAATAAAAGCTTTCTGTGAAATGATTTCAGATGCTAAAAGAGTAGCTTTAATGCAGGTACTTAACATGAAGGTATGATGGATAAGAATTGTTGTTGTTGTCACTGTGAAAAATTGCAATGATACGTTGTGAGAAATGCCTTCTTTAAAGAGGTGAAGATGTATAAATTAATTCACTTACCATCTACCCCCCTCCCCTGCCATTTTTTTGGGAAATGCAGGTACCTGGAGAAAAAGCGCCTCCTATTTCCACGATTCTTCTTTGTGTCGGATCCTGCTCTCTTAGAAATTCTTGGCCAGGCTTCAGACTCTCACAGTATACAGGCACATCTGCTGAATGTCTTTGACAACATTAAAACTGTCAGGTTCCATGAAAGGGTATGTACTGCCCACACTTTAATGTTAATTCTTTCATATTAACAATGTGCTATAGTTGTTCAATAAGAAAGCTACCTGTGTGCATGGGGAATTCAACTGTTTTACCAAGCTCATCAACTGTTTGATGTTGTGTAGGCTTTCTTCATTTAAGATTTAGTTTCACATCCTCGTTTACTAGGAAAACTCTATATGGAATAGCAAAAAACCTCCAAAATTTGCACCAGTGCTTAGGTTTCAGAAAAAAATACAAAGCTGCTGTACTGTCTTCTGTGGCTGAATACAGGTTAGCATCCCTTCAAATAAGTTTCTGATTCTTTATGAGCATATTTGTATATTTAGATTGCCTGTACGTGTACTTTTTCATTTTTATTTTAAGAAAAAGTGTATTTAGTCTCTCACCTGTTTCTGAGTTATCCCTAATATCCTTTAAAACATACTATTTGAAGAACAATTTTCTTATACACTTTACATGAACGGATAGCCACACATTTTTTTTTTTTTTTTCCTGTGTATGTATACATTTTCTTAGAAATTCACTACCTCCCCATTCATTTGAAATTTATTTGGTTGACCATGTTCCTTAACTTATGTGTTTCCATTATTTTTAATTGTAAGGCTGTAAATTTTGTTAAGCTATTAACCCACAAGTTATGGGGGAAGGTTGACTTTATTGTGACTGGAAAGTGGATGTTGTCATTGAAACTTAAGTGAAATTCCAGAATTTCCAGTGTTTTGGAGTTTGTCTCCTTGTTCAGATGACAGTTTTGTTTGAAGCCTTTCTGCACACCAGAAGTAATGATTTGATTGTTTTTACATTTCACTTAACAGGTTGGTATAATTTATTAGTTTATTAGTTGCCTAAATAAGTTTAATGGAGTGATGTCAGGAAAATTAGACATTTATAGTAAAGATAACAATAAATCTACAAACATAAAATGCTCTTGCTTTACTTTTCTTAGATCTATGACCGTATATTGTCAATTAGTTCACGAGAGGGTGAGACTGTAGAGCTGACTAGACCTGTAATGGCTGAAGGTAACGTTGAAGTTTGGCTTAATTCCCTGTTGAAGGAATCTCAGCTGTCACTGCATCACATTATTCGCCAGGCAGCTGTGCACATCCAGGAATCTAGTTTCCAGCTGACTGAATTTCTTTCTACTTACCCAGCCCAGGTAATATCATTGTTAAATCACTGAAGAATTGTTCACAGTTATAGAGCACATTGGGGTTTTTTTCTTGTCTTTGCAATCAAAGCTGCAGCTAGTGTTATAGATGCAAAACTGACATTTATTTTACCTTAATCACCTCAGTCTTTTAAGTTACACTTTACATATCTGAAACCAAAAGAAGAAAACACTCTGAAGCTCTTGTTAAAATATAATGCTGAATTCAATAAATTAATGCAGTGGAGTTAACACTATTTCTTTATAAGCTTAGTACTTGACTACTGAAGGAAAAGTAGTAGAACTGTATGTGTTATCTACTCAGGAAAACAGTATATATTGCTAAAGATTTGGAGCTAAGGGTAGTGCTGAGAGAAAATTATTTTCCTAGTAGAAGCTTCTTGTGATCAGGAATGTTGAAGAGGGTAAAAAGAGTTTGTGAATTGTGAATTGAGAAAAAAAAAATTAAATGGAAGCATTAATTATTCATGAGTTATTCATTATATATACAAAGTAAATTAATTATGTATAGTATTTTTATATATATATATATGTTGTAAATTATGTTGAACAGCTGTATCAGCAGTGCACCATAGACAATATCTACAAGACTGAAGTGTGGGCTTAACTATTCGTTTATGAATGGAGTTGACACACATAAAACAAATGCATAGGCTGAATGGCCTCTATATGGATGCATGAAAAAATAATTTTATACAGATAGTAGCAGAACCATTTCTTTAATTTATCTGTGTCTGTGAATGTACATTTTAGTTGAAAGAGAAAAGATTATGAAGCATATACTTTTATGTTTTTTATGTTTCCTAAGGTTGGGTTGTTGGGGATCCAAATGATTTGGACAAGAGACTCAGAAGAAGCTTTGACTAATGCCAGGTATGATAAAAAAATTATGCGAAAGACGAACCAGTTTTTCCTGGATCTTCTAAACATGCTGATAGATATGACAACAAAAGACCTTAGCCCAGTTGAGCGAGTTAAATATGAGACATTAATCACTATTCATGTGCATCAGAGGGACATTTTTGATGGTCTGGTAAGTACTGAAAAATTTACAATAAGCTATGAGGTGGTTTCCATGTAAAACGATAAGAAAGGACAAGAATAAAGTATTGCTATGCCTGAACTCTTACCTTTTAAGCTAAACATTTAATTTCAGTACTGTAATTATGTGACCTGAAGCATTATAAAAATGCTGATGTTTCTTCAATCCATGTCTTAGTTTCTCTTTAAGTAATCCAGTGTTGTTTTTTTTTTCCCCTTCAGAGTACTAAAATTAGGAAAATGAAAGCATTTACTACTTAAACATTCAAATTTAAAAGTTAACGTGCCCTTTTACCTATATGAAGCTCTGGAACTGACTCTTGAAATCAAGCTGAGGAAAGAATTACTGAGTTTTAACCTGTGACTGATAGGCAGGCACCTACTTTTTCATTGTAGAATTAGTTATTTCTAGTGATAATCATCTTAAGTATAATTTTTAGATACAACTTGCAGGACACCTTTTAAACTCTTGTTTTAATATTCATTTGGTCAACTTTGAATTACTCTCAGATCTGAATTTCTTAACTAATACCTGCACCATGACATTGTCTCGAAATACCTTTTTTTCCATTTGCATGTGGTTTTATACAGTTGTCATGACTTTTTTTTTTTTTTTTTTTTTTAATCATCACATTATGTGCTACCTACTCACATGTAAAAATAAAATGGTGGAGATGAGTAAAAGAAATGACTGAACTTAATGACTTGTTTGAGACTTATGGACTACTCATTTGTATTTAGAATTTTGACACACTTCAATCTAAAGCTTGAAGTTCCTTTGCCTTAGTATGGGTTTCAGGGACATCATTAACACATTAGCAGTTTTTGTGTTAAAAATCAAAATAGGATCTCCACTGTTCTTGTGTTACTAGCTGTTCTTCATGCCTTTTATTGTGATTGCAGTGCTGCCTTTGCAGTACTACTTAGATGAGATAATATGAATACAAAAGTAAACATTAACCATGAATTCTACAGCTTTCTTTCCCCTTCTTTTCTTAGTGTTGCATGCATATCAAGAGCCCTACAGACTTCGAGTGGCTCAAACAGTGTAGATTTTATTTCAATGAAGACTCTGATAAAATGATGATTAAGATCACTGATGTGGGTTTCACATACCAGAATGAATTCTTGGGCTGCACTGACAGGCTTGTCATAACACCTCTTACAGACAGGTAAAAAAGACTGATTTTATTCCTTTATTCATTGATGCCCAACCTAGGCTTTTACAAGAGCAATTTAGTCATTCCTATTGGATGCAAAATAGGTCTCTGCAGAGTTTATCGTTCGTGGTCTCATCAAAGTCAATGATTTTACATGGAATACATGAATATTTTTGTTTCTGTGCCTTACAATATAAATAACTTTCTGTTTAATTTTTGCTACATACTTGCGTGATCGCCATATGTATGATGTGTGGGACTTGTTTCTCATGTATGTTAGGTTAGTATACCTGAGGATCAGCTAGATCCAACAAATACAATATGCAGAGAGAGATACAGGAAAAAACTGATTACAGGCAAGCTAATGAAAATGTTTAAGGAAGAATAGACAAGAAAACCAGTTTTATTCAGATGTTGAAAGAATTGCAGTGCTAATAGCAGAGAGGTCTACCTACCTAACTGGAATAACACAAAGAATGTTTTATAATCTATAATTGGCAGAATAACGGCATTGGGTATTTTTGGTTTGATTTTGGTTTGGTTTTTAACTACTCCATGCAGCAAATTCTAGAGCTTCTCTTTAAATATAATTGTCAGCTGGTGTTTTACTGCATTACACATAGAAGTTTCATTTATGAAAATGGGATGCACTCTATGATCAAATTTTAAAAGTGGATGAGAAAGGAAAGGTTAGCTGTCTTTCATTATTGTACTCCACAGTATAATGTACTTCAGAACAACTTCAGTTGAAGTAATTCAGGAACTAGCCTAACCAAATTAGATTAGGCAGCATCTCTGTATCTGCTTTATTCCCTTCTCATATTCTTTCAGGTGATTGATTATTGAGGATTATCTGTTCTTCCACTTTATGTATGAGAAGACAGACCTTAATATTACCTTCATCAGAGACTGAGTGAAGGGTTTTCCTTCTTAGTGATTTAAATTGTAATTAGAGGCATGTGATTTTAGCAGTTTCCTTGTTTCCTTAAATCAGACAATTCCTCATGTAACACACTTGAGTAAGTTCCTCTGGCGCTATACAAAAAACTGTACACTGCAGCCCATTGATGATATCCTGTTGCCTTTTAGATGTTACATCACTTTGGCTCAAGCTTTAGGCATGAACATGGGTGGAGCACCTGTAGGACCTGCAGGAACTGGAAAAACTGAAACCATCAAAGATATGGGACGGTGCCTTGGAAAATATGTAGTTGTCTTCAACTGTTCAGACCAGATGGATTTCCGAGGGCTTGGGAGGATCTTCAAAGGTAAGGTGTGGACCAAAGGTAGGATGTTGGTCAAAGGGTCAACTGTATCTTGGGATGCATTAAGTGTAGTATAACTAACCATTTAAAAGAAGTGATTGTCCTACTATACTCAGCATTGGAGTGTCTCACCTCAAGTACTGTGTACAGTTTTGAGTCAACAATGTAAGAAGAATATAAAAATAGTAGAATGTGTCCAGATGAGAGCAGCAGAAATGGTGAAGTAGCTAGACATCGTGACTTACGAGGGGCAGCTGAGTATACTAGGTTTGTTCATTTTAGAGAAAAGGAGATTGAGGGGTGCTCTCATTGCTGTCTACATCTTCTCCATGAGGGAGAGTGGAGAGGGAGGTGTTGATCTCTTCTCTCTGGTGTCTGATGGTAGGACATGAGGGAATGGTTTAAAGCTGCATCAGGTGAAGTTCAGAATGGATATTAGGAAAATGACTCATTGAGAGAGTGGTCAAGCACTGCATCAAGCTTCCCAAGGAAGTAGTCAGGGCTCCAAGCCTGCCAGTGTTCAAGTAATGTTTGGACAACGGTCTTAGATACATGGTTTAACTTCTAGGTAGCCCTGTGGGAATCAGAAGTTGGACTTGGTGATCCTTATAAGTCCTTTACAAGTCAGGATATTCTGTGATTATGTGATTCTATGGACTATGTGAAAGTTACAAATGCTGAAACCATCTTTATAAAACAAGGTCAACACATGATCAGCAAGCGGTTTTCAGCCTTTTAATAAATGCAGGTAATTAATATTGTGTTAGGGATGTAAAATACATTTGTAACGCTGTCTCCAAGAAATAGAAATATTTGAAAACATAAGGCAGTTTATGAAAGGATAAATAATCAAGGAGGTCTGCCAGTACAAAAAAGAAAAAGCTGTGAAATTTCTTGTTGAACTAGTGGAATGTGTTGGATTCTGATTTCAGTATTTTGTCTCCTTCAAATGTCAAAGTTCTTATCAGTTGAAGGAAATGCATGAATAGCACTATATATGATAAAAACAGTTGGCACAACTCCCTGAAGTTAGATGTAGATGATAATTTTTTTTTAGGCACCTGAAATTGATATCCATCAGTCATGGTGAATGTCAAATTAGTGGAGGTCCTTGACTTTTGTATTGTTGCAAGTGACTGTGTTGATGATTTTTTGCTTTGTTTTCCTCAAAATATCTGAGGAAGAATGGAATTTTGGCACAGACAGACCCATAACTTCTTAACAGGTTAAAGCAATTTTATTGTTCATTTTAATCTGTGCAATAAGCTGTTGACAACCCATCATATTTTCATAGCCTTATTGCAGGGAATTTTTTTTGAGGAGAAGGGAGGAACAGGAAAACATTCAAGATACTGAGAGAAGGAGCAGAAATTGAACAATGTAATATCCTATACAAGTGTGAGGACTTTTGAACTTTTTGAGTTCTTGCTTAAAATAGAAACTCTTCTTTCTCATCTTTCAAAATAAACACATTTTTTGCCTGAGGTAGATTAACGTGATTTTTTGTCTTATGAATTGCACCAGAAAAGGGCTAACAACATAATGGTCAGATGCTTAGTTGCTTTTCTCTTTGAAGGTCTTGCTCAGTCTGGCTCCTGGGGTTGCTTTGATGAATTCAATCGTATTGATTTACCAGTACTATCAGTAGCTGCACAGCAAATTGCAGTTGTGTTGACATGTAAGAAGGAACATAAAAAAAGCTTTATTTTTACTGATGGAGATAATGTGGAAATGAACCCAGAATTTGGCATCTTTCTTACTATGGTAGGTACTCAGTAGGTTTCCAGTATGCCACTGATGATTGTACAATAATCACTGTTAACCTGCAATGTTAAATGTACTTGCTAATTTACTCAGCTCAACTGACAGTTTGAGAACATTGAGCATTACTGTGAAGACAGTTTACAGGGTCTTGTTTCAATGACATGAAGCACATGAATTAACAAATGCAGCCAGCGCTGTAAATACAAGCTATTATCTCAGTGCTAGATTACTACTGCAGGCTGCATTCTGGTTTGCAAAGTATGCTTTTTGCTATAAGTACCGAAAATTTGCCATAGATATATAGGTAGGAATAGACAGTAAAAACAGGACCTATAAAACAAATACAGATTTGAAGGGTTTAGGTGGAACATTTTTCATACTTCATGCATGTGAGAGAGGCTAAAATTCTGGAGAGATGTGGTAAATCTGCATGGCAAATAATTTTTACGTGTTATTTAAAGCCAAAAAGCTTTTTATGTTTAACCAGATTACACATTCCTGTGCTAATTCTTCTGTTTGTGCAAGGTGCACACAACTTCAAAACCTGTTCTTCTGTCCAGAATCCAGGATATGCTGGACGGCAAGAACTCCCTGAGAACCTGAAGATCAACTTCCGTTCAGTGGCTATGATGGTTCCTGATCGTCAGATCATAATTCGTGTCAAACTGGCTAGTTGTGGTTTCATTGCTAATGTTGTATTGGCAAGGAAATTCTTTACACTATACAAGCTGTGTGAAGAACAACTGTCAAAGCAGGTGATTACTTTCATATGAGGAAAAATTATCTTAGGGAAAAACTATGTGTGATGTCATAAATTATTAGCATCTTTGTGAACACAATTGAAAACTTCATGTTCACTAAGCAAGCTAAATGACACTTGCAGTTTAGTAGTGCAACCCTCTGCTGCCCTGGAGCATTAACTCCTGCTGCAGGTTGTCTGTACAAGAATGGGACTGTCATTCAGAACACTGCTTATTATAAAGATTTAGCTTTAATAAATGGTGATTGAAGCAAATAAAGGTCTTGTATATTAGTTGGTCTGGTAGAGTGGATTGAGAGGCATTTGGTTTGTGCTGCCCATGCTTGTTTAGATATTTCTCAAATAAAGTCAGTTTCCGAGGTCCATGGAGAATTAAAAATAATGCTGATAGTTTATTTCTTAATAGTCCTTGGGAACCTTATCTTGGTTCAAAGACTTGTGATTACATTTCTTTTTCCTGTCCCACCTTACAGGTAAGAAATTACAGATGGTAGCAGAGGTGGGGAATGAAGTCTCCCATAATCATACAGCCAAAGACCAGTAGTTGTGTGTTAGGAGCCATTTGTGCCACATGCACCACTTCTTGTGCATATCCATACCTTAAATGATAAATAAGAATTGTTTCATCTCAGTTAACTGGAGGAGAATTTTCCCAAACGTTGCATATCTTCTAGGTGCATTATGATTTTGGCTTGCGGAATATATTGTCAGTGCTACGTACACTAGGAGCAGCAAAAAGAGCAAATCCCACAGATACTGAAGCTACCATTGTCATGCGTGTGCTGAGAGACATGAACCTGTCTAAACTAGTAAGTTCTTAAGGTCTGGTGAATTAATTAAACTGCACTTCAGAGATATGTTTGGTGTTTTTTTTATTTTTTTTTTTTTTATTTTTTTTCTTTTAAATGCAATTTAAATCTGTTAAGATGATCACTAGAAGATTGAATGTGACCTTTACACTGAAGCTAGCTTGGAAATGTTTCATTCTCTGGATGGTCTTTGGTACTGGTTTTGGCTGGGATAGAGTTAATTTTCTTCATAGTACATTTGATGGGGCTGGAGAGGGAGCGAGTGAGGGACTGTGTGGTTCTTGACTGCCTACCTGGCTTAAACTGCACCACCTTGAATTGTTCAGAATTTTCTTCAAATATTTCCCCTGCTACCTGTAGAAATAAGTGACCAAACAGAAGTCTAAGCAGTAACCTCTTCAGAACCTTTGACCTAAAGTAGTCACTCTTTTGAAATAATCTGTTATTTGTAGTAATGAGTACTATCTCATCTGTCTTAAATAGCTAACAAAATCTCTCCTGTTGCTGTGATACTTCATGTCCTTTATTATAGTTTTTTTATACCTTAGACAAATAATTTACTACTTGTATAAATTTTATTGCTAAAATCTTTAAGTAGAAGTAGTCTGTATGTTAGTGATTTATTTTAATTAACTTTTGAGTACTGGAAGCATCATACGATCTCCTGCTGTGTCCTTCTAGAGTGTTTAGCACCTAGAGGGTTACCTTAGATGGTTCCCTTTGTTTTCAAGTGTTTCTTTAGTTCTGCAAGAGTTAGGAATTGTTTTTTAAGATGCTAGAATAAGCAAAAGAAGTTTTAATCTGTGTTTCTGCCTGCCTGGTTCTTTCACTAGATTGATGAAGATGAACCATTATTCCTGAGTCTAATTGAAGATCTATTTCCAGATATCTATCTTGATAAAGTAGGCTATCCTGAACTGGAAGCTGCCATTGACAAACAGGTAACGTTTCTCTTGATCTGTGCTGCTGTGGCATAACTATCATGATGTGACATCTAAGAAAATTATTGGTGTTGAGTCTACCCAACTGTTAATAATACATTTTACTACTTAGAGGAATAGTAAGCTTTTCCATAAATCTGTACCATTGGCATTTTGTTATTAACCTTATTCTTAAGGGTGTTAATGAATTGTGGTTGCGGTGTCCTGTGGTTTTCTTGTCAGTCAGTCATTTGTGGTGTCCAGTTTTAAAAATGCATATATATATATATATGCTTGCCTTATGTGACCCAGGATTTAATATTTGTATGAAGTCTAACAGTCAGAACATGAGCTTGAGAAAAGATTTACCTAAAATGAAATTTTCTCTATTTCATCTTTCATTAGAGCTTTTGGAACATTTCAGTAGGACCAGTTTAAGAATATCAGTGGGATATAGAAAGCTAATGAAGTATGTACACTTAAGTGATCACCTCTGTTAAACTTTCCTCCAGAATTTCAATAATTCCTCAGAGTATTATCTAATAGTTAAACAGAGAAACAAAAATTCAAAAAAACTGTCAAAGACCCCCAAAAAATAAAAAAAAGAAAATCAGAAGTGTATTTCTGAAGAATTTGAGTATATGAGTTTTCATTTACTTACATTTAATGTGATTAGATACAAGTAGAAAAGTCTGCTTCTGACTTTCCTAACAAGGAAGAGTTGAATCATGAGCTAATATTTATAAAACTGTTTTGCTTTCTGTAGCTTATACAATTATCTTTAAGAAGAGACTCACACATTAAGCTTTTATGAGGGGAAGCTATAAGGAACTTGAATCTCGTGCTTTAAATTGTCATTTATAATAAATTAAAACGAGGTCTTAATAACATGTTCTTTGTAGCTCTGTTGTTGGTGATCTGTGAAACCAGACATAGAAAGTGTCAACCCTTTTAACAACAAATCATTATCACTTGTTTGTAAGTAGTGTGTAATGTCAGCCTATACTGAAGCAGTGTTGAAAACTTGAAGATCTTTACACACTGTGATTATCTTATGTAAAACAAAGTTTATCTAAAGTTCAGATCTAGGGATCTCATGGTAGCTTTTTAGTGCTATAACAGTGTTTAGAAATTTTGTTAGCTTATTTTGACTTTTTTTTTTTTTTTTTTGTAAAATCTGGGGAAACCAGAAATGGTTGTCTATCTTGTTTGTATTGGGAGTGAATTAAGGTTTTATTGAATGGAGCTCTTTGCTGTGTTTTCAGAGCTGTAATGACTCAGTACAGTGAAAACAACTAGGTTAGGACAGAATCAAGTTCAAGAGGAAGGAGGTTTTTATTAGAGGAAGGAGGCAGAAGTTGGGGAAGTATCATAATGAAGAAATAGTCGTGACTTGAATTAAAATGTTTTTCTATGTTTATATTTTGTGGTGGGTTCACCCCAGCTGGCAGCTAAGCCCTCACACAGTCACTTGCTTACTTTCCCCCAGTGGGTTGGGGGAACGATTCAGAAGGGGAAAAGAGAGGAAAAAAAGCCCATGGATTTAGATCAAGATGGTTTAATAAATGAAGAAAAAATTGCAAAGAAATAAGTAATGCAAAAGCAGTCTCTCACCACCATCAGACTGATGTCCAGCCAGTCTCTGAGCAATGGCTACTTTGGAGAAACTTCCCTCCAATTTTCTTGCATGATGTGGAGGAGTTGGTCTAGATGATCTTTAAAGGTCCCTTTCCAACCCAAACTATTCTATGGTTCTATGATATGGAGTACCCCTTTGGTCAGTTGGAGTCAGCTGACGCAGCTGTGTTCCCTCCCAAATTCTTGCCCAGCCCAGCCTACTCTCTGACAGGGCAGTGTGAGGGACAGAGAAACCCTTGATGCTATGCAAGCGCAGTTCAGCAATAGACAAATCAATGGCATCAACACTGTTTCAATAACAAATGTAAAACTTGGCACCATATAGGCTACTATGAGGAAAATTCACTCAATTCCAACCAGACCCAGTACATGTGTACAACTGTTAACAGGCGAACTTTTGAGAACATGTCAAGTCTGCTTGTGAACATACTTTTTTTTTTTGGTAAGAGAAATATCTAGTCTACAAGATTATTACAGAATCCATGAGTTTTAGAAATTGTTAAGAAAAGGTAAGTCTCCACTGATGGCATTGGATTAGAGTGAAGGAATGGCTAACATGACCATTTTGTTTTATGTGAAGAAAGTAATCAGTTCATATGCGTTCTGTCAGTACACCATTGGATTCTGGATATATTACTGCATATATGTGGACTCTGGAAACAAGTCAGGAGAATATATTCTATACAGGAAAGAAAGACAGCTTGACAGGTTTAGTGTCAGCTGTGAGACCTGTTAAGATGTAAATGATAACAGAACTTTATCATGTATCTGAAAAAGGTGCATCTGATGTCTTCGCTGTGCTTTGCAACCTCCATTGCTTCATGGTGATGAGGAGTTGGTGGCAGCATATACTTCATGGTTGCTGTTGATGAATTCATCTTGTGCTGCCTTCTGTTCTTGGCTTCCTTGCAGAGTGAGATAAATAAGCTGAACTGACATGAGTTTCGATACACGAGTAATATAGCAAGTGGTAGTGCCAGTTACACAGTTCTAACCGACTACATGACAGTAATTGTAAAAGCTGAGTTTTATCTTATCTGTAAAAAGTTAGTCCTCTTTTTACTGATAATATTTTCTGAGATATTTTGTGGAACATAATTTAAAAACAAATTATACTTGAATTAAAATATAATTGTTATTTTGAGAGCTTCATTTTTATAACATGATATTGAGGTTTTAGAAGGTTTCTTTGTTAAAAACATATGCTGTGCTATGAATCCTTAAGAAATAGTTCTAGCTTTTCTCTACTGGCTAAAAACTTGCTTGTTCACTTCCAGCTGAGTTACTTTCAGGAGCAACAGCAATACCAGTATAGTGAGATAACTTCTTTAAGCTTGGAACTAGTAAAAAGTAGTAAACAATCATATGATGTTTGATTTTAAAACATCATGTCTTTTCTTAGGACGATGATATTAAGAAGTTACTCAAAGGTCTGTCTGTACACTGAGAAACATATAACAAAATGTTTTACAGAAAAATTTTGGCTACTGTAAGCATTTAGAGACACAAATCATGATCATAAAAAGGCAGCTGTTCTGAGAGGCAAGTGAAAATGCTGTGTGCCTATGAAAGACATTGCTAGCAAGAATGTTTCTAAAATTCTTGGCTTTTCCTTGAAATGATGTTTTAACCCCAAGAAGAGCTAAACCACCCATGTTTTATTTTCTATTTTTCTGAATATATATTTGAATACCAAATATCTCTTCTTTTTCTAAACAGTTTTTATATACACAAAATCTTTACAAATTGTATAGTCATGCTGAAGATAGATTTTTTTTTTTTTTTTTTTTAAACATCAAAATATCTTATGCACTAAAACAGTAGTAGTTTGGTTTTCTGTCACTATTTATAGGTGGAGGAAGCTGGACTTGTTTGTCATCCTCCTTGGAAGCTGAAAGTTATCCAGCTTTTTGAAACCCAGAAAGTAAGGCATGGATTGATGACACTAGGACCTAGTGGTGCAGGCAAAACTGTTTGCATTCACACTTTAATGAAAGCCATGACAGGTATGTGAGTATTTATATTGTAAACTTTAAAACGCATTGTTTCTTCATTGAAAGCCTCAATTGCTTCATTGTGACAACATATTACTGGAAGAATCAGTTTGTGCGTTATAATGCTAATTATCGTGGTAGTATCTTTTAAAAGCTTAAAAATGTCTGACATTCAAAGTCATACAATACATATCTTATTTTCCATATTATGATACTTATATCAGGAGTTCTTATTCTAGAAACATTGAGAAGGAGGAGTACTGTCTGGGTAGACAGCTTGAGCAAGTGGTTAAAGCATCTCCCAGGTTTGGCTGAGGTAATGCTGAAACCTTCCCCTAATCGTAACTGTTAAGTCCTTTTTGAACACAGTTCAGCAGAGTGGTCTGTATCTACAGTACAGAATAATTACTTCTATCATTTGTTGCTGATAGGAGATAGTTTCTGGTTTAGACAGTGACAAAGTCTCTTTTGAAGTAAGCTTGTGTTACCCCATTTCACAAGCTTCAGTAGACTGCTTATACAATTTTCCAGAAATTGATAGTTCTGTAAAAAAACGCTCAGTCAGTCTCTCATCCATGCAATACCTTAGTGTGCTTAAAAAACACTGTAGTCTCTACATTAAAGTGTAAATGACTGTTCCATTTAGGAAAAAAAGCAGAAAGAACAGATAGTTGCATTAGAATATTTTCCTGTATTTCTGTAGCACAGAGATGTGAACTACTACCAAGATAAAGCTGCCACGATACATTTTCAAGCTGATCTGCCATAATCTCATGAAATATAAAACTACACAATTTGCCAGGCTTCTATCTTTACATGTTAGTGAACTCTGATTATAATTAAGATTTTAAGATAAACCATTTTTTTAGCTCTTTCTTTCAGCATCTTATTATTGGCTCCCAATTAAGTTTTAATATTGGGTTTTCTAAAGATGTCTGACACAGAATTTTTTCAAGCTGTTGTTAATGAGGAAAATATAAAGATTATATGATCATGGTATGGCTAGATAGAATTTAGTTGCTTAAGAGATTTCACAGGCATGTGCCGATATCATATGTTTTGTCTATTCCAAAGTGTATGCAAGTGCACAATGGGGAAAAACAAAAAACAGTCAATCATGTGGAGCATTTGTCTGGTATTTAGTCATTGAGTTTTAAAAAAATGGTTCCAAACCAAAGGCTTTAAAGATCTATTGTTTGATAAACCTTCAAAATGTTAAACTAAAGTTTGAATAATTTTCATCTTCCTGCTCTGTTGTTCCCGATGAATGTATGAAATGTGAATTGTACTTTCAGAAGTTTCAGAACTTTGTGTACTTTACATTTTGATGTCTCCAATTAACACATATTGATGTTTAGCAAGAGGTAAGTTTTCCAAGTAAATACAAAACTTATTATAATGTTCAATGTATATTAAACCATACATTTGGTTGTAATGATTTTGAATTTATCAAAGTTCTCTGATTGCTGACACCCCCCCACACCCCCCTCCCATTAAGTGATGATCTGCCTTTATAGATTGTGGACAACCACATCGTGAAATGAGAATGAATCCAAAAGCTATAACTGCTCCGCAAATGTTTGGTCGTCTCGATGTGGCAACAAACGATTGGACAGATGGAATATTTTCAGCACTCTGGAGAAAAACTTTAAGAGCCAAGAAAGGTATAATGGAAAACAATTCTCTCCAAAACAAAACAAGCTGCAGGACATCTCTCTAAAGCATATTAGCAGACTTCTTTGGGGTTTTTTTGACTTGCAGCAATATTCTAATGCTTCCATGTAAGAACTTCTGTCTGTTGTATATTCTCTGTTCTAAATGCTTTGCGGTCAAACTGTGTAGTGTAGCAAATACTGTTTCAATGAATTTGCTAATCCCTCTCTTTCAAATAATAGGCCCTTGCATGGAAGAAAAGTGGAAGATAAGAGTCAGTTCACCCAGCACTTGTATACTATAAAAAATTTTGGTGGTGTAGGATATCTACCTGGTCTCCAGCTGCTGTACTAGAAGGGTGTGAATCTCCTTTGTGTCATACCTGTTAACGCTGCACATACCATAGTCCATCTCAAATGACACTAGATAATACTACTGAGGCAACCAATAGCCTAAAATAACGCTGGCGTATATTAAACTACTATATTAACTTAAAGAGAGGCCTTGATGATTTGATGGTAGATGGGTTCTTCCTTGTTTTGTCTGAATATTAGTATGTGATCTTATCATTAGGCCTTAAGGACTAAAGAAAAATAAAATCTAATAGGCCTTAAGGACTAAAGAAAAATAAAATCTAACATTTGTTGCACTGTCAGTTTTCATACAAAAATCCTTAGTCTGTAAGGATACAGATACTTTTAAAATAGAAAATACTTTTGGATTTAATTTTGTTGGTTTTGTTTCAAATCTAGAAATGTAGCACCCTTGAGAATGTAGCATAGCATTAACTGTTGATTTTTCTATTTTTCCTCCTCAACATGAAATGTAAATTATCACACTCACATGACTTCCTCAGATTCACTCTTTGCAACACTTCTGTAATGTCTCTGTGAAGTCCAGAACATGTTGTGCCCAAGATGCCTGAGCTCTAGCTCTGAAAATCTCTAAATATAGAACTATTCCCCTGAGAGGTGAGAAAGTTTCTTATCAGAATCTTCTTGGTTCATACCTAGCCACACACCAAGCCACCCAAGCCTAGATAGTAAGGACTCACTCTGAAGGCAGATGAGAGTGGGACCATCTCTGACTAAAGGGCTATTTAGCGATGCACATCAGGGCTGGCAACTTCCTAGGGGACAGGGAGCCAAAACCAAGGGGGAATCTCTTTCCAGCCAGAGCCTGTTGCTCTGTACCCAGGTGAGGCGGGCAGGACAGAGGAAACAGAGAAACTAGGAAACAGAGGCAGGCTTTAAGATACATTTCTCTTACTAAATAGAAAGAGCTGGAAAAGCTCCAAAGGGAGGTGGATCAGGTTTACAAGCAGAAGAAAGAACAACAAGAATTTTTCTTCCCCTAATGGACATTATGAAAGCGAGCATGTTATTTGAGAGAGGAATTTTTCAAGCCTTCCTTTCATTTAATCTCACTACATTTACACAAACTCTTTGGAAACTAATGAATGGTGGTTTTAAATAGATACATAGTTTCTATATTCTTTATGTTAGATCAGTTGAAACGAACCTAATTTATTACTAGCATGAAGATTGGACCTATGAAGCTGTTTCAGACTCTTACAAACTGATGGCTTATGCCGAAGACACCTTATATACTGAGCAATGGATAATTGCTATCAGTAGGTGATGAAGCGAAATACTGAATTGTAATTGAGTGATGGAAATGGTAACTGTTTTAAAAGATGACATTTTAGCTGTGTGTGAATTCAGAATTCAAAATTTTTTCTGCAGAGAGAAGAAATTGATCTTTGAAGGAAACTAGAGCTCCCTCCATAGGCTTTTTTATCTGTTATTTTGGCTTATAGGTGACCACATCTGGATAGTTCTTGATGGTCCGGTTGATGCTATTTGGATTGAGAACCTTAATTCTGTACTGGATGATAACAGAACTCTGACTCTAGCAAATGGAGATCGGATACCCATGGCACCAAATTGCAAAATAGTCTTTGAACCTCATAATATTGATAATGCTTCTCCAGCAACAGTTTCAAGGAACGGGATGGTATTCATGAGCTCATCAGTTCTCAACTGGAGCCCTATCCTTGAGGTACAAGAGCTAAGTGATTGTTTATGTATTAAAAGTTTTACTGGATACTTATTCAACACTTCAGTGTTATTACTTTAGGATCTAATTTTGTGACTTTTTCTATGGAATGGATTTTACACTGTATAAACTTATAGGTCAGTATTTAATATAGAGATGTTCTTGGTAATTTATACAAGAGTGAATAATGTAATTTTTCCAGGAACATAGTCAACATAATACACTTGTAAAAACATCGATGTTTCACTGTGGGACAAATTTGTAATTCAAGGTATTTTATATTATTGAAGAACAACTCAGTTGTCAAAATAACAACTACTTGGCAACCTCTAGTACACTTCAGACCAAGGAAGAAGGAGGAGTAAACAGGCTGATTCAGGAATCTAGAAATCCTCAAGAAAATAGAAATTATCTTGATCTTTCTTAAAATTAATTTCAGTTGGGATTTAGAACCAAAAATAAAGTCAGTGCAGCATTGAAGTATGTAATTTTAAAATGGATGTTCTTACCTGGTTGTCTGTTAACATTTCTAGAAGCAAAATGTCTTAAGAACCATGCAGTGGTCACTCTCTCTCCTGCGTGGAATGAATCATTTAGAAAACCAGAACATGTTATAGGTGTGTTTTGGAGGGAAGAACAGCATATAACTTAAATTTCAAAGTGATGTATAAAGTGGGTTTTTTCTTGTATATGTCATATTTCATCTTCCAAAAACCAGACAAAATAAATCCTTATCTTAACTGAATGGTGTCAGTGATACAGTGAATGATACTTTTAGAGACTCGAGCATGCTATGTTTGTTTTTCATGTAGCAAATATCTTGGTAAAAATGAAATATAAGAGTTCCTGAGAATCTACCTAGTGTTCCATAGTAATATCTTTAATAAAAGCTTTCAGTATTTAATTCCAGTTTTCTTCCGTTTTAAGAAAACAGTGGAGACAATAGCAGTGAATAAAGTTGGTTTCTGATGAATTTTTTTAAAAAAATTCTTAAGCTCTCTATTGCCTTAGAAATTTATCAGTGAAGTAGGCTCCTCAGGATTAATGCTTTTTAAAAATTTAAATTAAAATAAATATTCATTTATTTTGATGTTATTTTTTTTGTTTTCTAGTCAGTCTTACTCATAATATTTTCTTGATGCTATTTTGCTTTGATGAAACATGGACTGTCTCATGAGTATCAAAAATTAAAACTTCCTTCCTTGTGGCTAAGAAAAGACAAATTTCTCAGGTTACTATGAGCTGACAGACTGACTATCCTTCTTTCTGGAAAGTATCATATTAAAAAGTTTTTTAAAATAATTTAAAAAATTTAATGTTTCACAGTTTCATTCACTCATTTAATTTTCCAAATCAAATAAGGTACCTGTGGAAGATACAAGTAATGCTCATATAGATTAATATTGCTTAACTAGGCAGAGGAAACTACAATTACCTTCATATTAACTTTCAGGTCTTAGTAGTTGAGGGAGCTTTTTGTAATGATTACCCTGTACTATTCTCAGATTTCTTATTGTTTTAACCCGTAAAGTTTCTCATGCGTGTAAGACTTATGTAGCTTGCTTGTTTATAACCAGATTCCTTGTACATAAATCCCTGATTTGTCCTGCAGTGGAGAAAAAGTTGGCATGCCATGGAGTGTGGTCTGTGGCACTGCCTAGAACAACCGTCCTTAACATATTAGAGGTTTCAGTACAGATGGAAATCAAAAGAGACAGTATGCTGCTGTCCAAGCAGTGCCTGGTGCTTCTTCCTGGGGCTGGAGACAGTGGAGCGCCCCTGGGGGAAGTGTGCCCTGGGCATGGAGTTATCAGGTGAGGGAGCTGTGGAAGGGGTGAGAAGACTTGTGTACCTTCAGGGAAGATAGACAGATCAGCAGGATCTTTGCAGAGACACTGCAGACTCAAGATCCCTAGTCCTGTAACGGAAAAGAGAGTGAGTTAGAGACTGCATTCAAAACTTTGGTGAACAGAAACTATCACCATGAGGAAGGCTGTAAGCTTGTGATTTCTGGCAACAGAAGCAAGGTTTCTTTTCCACCTGCAGATCTGAAATGGCAAGTCAGGTATAGTGCCCCGAGAATAGGTGTGGAGCAACAAGATCCACTAGGGCAGGCATCAGAACCCAGCTTAGCCTTAACCAATTATGAGGAAAAGGAGTGTGATTGTTGTCAGAGACTCCCTCCTGTGATGGAGGCACCCGTGTGCTGTGACTTGTTGCCTATGGAGGTTTGCTGCTTCTGAAGGACTAAGGGTTACTGCAGAGGGTTGTTACCATATTTCTCTAGTAGTGCCTAAGGCTTTCCCTTTTAGAGTGATATTAAATCATATGGAGCTGGCTGTTCAATCTCAGCTACTTAGCAACACTTGACAGTCTTCACTAATTTATTCAATAGGTTTCTTTACCAAGTCAAAAATGTTTGCATTCTTATTAGGAAAAGTGTTTATTAAGTTTCCTAAAACTTTGGCTGTTATTGAAGTTTTACCAATGCAAATACATGCAGTCAATGCAAGTGCCTTATGTATATTACTGCAAAACTTTTACCTTTTCTTTTTTTTTAATTAAACTAATACAGATACTTGGGAAAGTACAAGTGTAAATTATGCATCTAGGACAGTGGCTCCCATGGGATTCCACTCATGTTGTTCATTCCCATACTTAACAGGACTGCGTAGAGTCTACTGATGTTAGATTCTTCTAGCTCTGCCTCCTTGCATTGGTTAATTTGAAGACAACAACTTGAATGTTTCAGTTTAAATTGAACTATAGATTCATCTGTGAAGACAGCAAAACCAAAGAAAAGTGTTTTATTTTTCCTTATCTGTCATGATTTACGTCCTCACTTTAAAGTGATATGCAGACTAAATTTAGTTGTGTTGAAGTAACTGTTGCATGAAAGTAGTTTCACTTAATTCATGACCTTATGCTTTTAATTTATTTCAGTGGTAGGACCAGTCAAGAGGAAAGCAAGAACTTTTATTTTTTTTTTCTTTTGGATAACACAAAACAAATTACGTTCATTTCAGCCATGACACAATGATTCCAACCTCCCTTCCTCCCTCACCCCCCCCCATCATTTGAGCTAAGATCATTCATTTGTCTCTTGTTTTGTTTGGTTTTACTTCATAAATAAAGTATCTTGATGGCTTTTTCTAGAAATCTCCCTTTAAATCTATTTTGTAGTGCAATATACTACATATCGCAGAAGATTAGTGTAGATGTTAATCTTTCATTGCTCACTGGAGGATTTCCTTACTTTTGTAAGAGAATTAAATGGCATTTTCTTTCTTTAATTTCTAATTCTCAGATGCTGAATGAAGCATACTATTTGTTCATATTTCAGAAGAACGTTGAAAAATAATTAGAAAGAAATATGAATAGCTCAGGAAGTTGTTGTATATATTTAGATTCACCATCCTTATAATTTATAAACAGCTAACTATAGCAGCCTATTAGGATGCAATGTTATGATATAAGCAATTTCCAAATTCAGTGAAATAGATATCTAACTTTTCATATTGCTGTTCTTGTCTAACATGCTTCTTAACCAGCTTTTGCAAAGTGATCAAAGGTATTTGATGCATTACTCATCAACCTCCTCTAAAGCAAAAACATCTTACCAACTTTTCCACTTGCCCCTAATATCTTCTGAACAGCTAGTGAAGTTCTGGATATCTATTTTAAGTACTTCTGCCAATTAATCTTTAGTACTTTGTTTTCCACCTACTTGTTTTTAGAAAGCTTTTTCATATATTATAGCTACCTATTTGTAATCAGTCCCAAAGTTTATTTACTTTGGACAGTAAAAGATAGTGTTTCAAAAGATTATGAAGGCAGAAGTGTAAAAAGGAATCTCAGAAGCACGAAATTCTTGACGTTGGAAGGGACCTCTGGAGATTGTGTAGTTGAACACACCTCAAAGCAGAATCAACTAGAGTAGGTTGCTCAGGACTGTGTCTTGTTGAGTTTTGAGATGGAGACTCCAGAAGCTCCCCAAGAAGCCTGTTCCAGTGTTTGACGACCCTCACAATTAAAAAAAAAAAAAAAGTTCTTATGTTTAAATGGAATTTATTTTATTTCAGTTTGTGCCAAATTTTAATTTGAATTTTGGCGAAGAATCTGCAAGTGTATTTGCTGATGAGTGTATTTTGTGTAGGTGCCACACAGATCAGAGAAAGCTTCTGAGTAACTGAAAGAAGCGGGTCACTCACTACCTTGAGCTAAAGGCATCAAAGAATAAATCCTGTTCTATGATCTTGAGAAATAGGTATTTTTAATTAGATTTTAATTAGAGTTAGCATTACAGGTATTGAGATGCACAACAAAACCACTACACACGCCAGCAGACATCCCCCCCTGAAATCCTAACTTCTTTTTTACAACTGCCAGATGTTTCAGGGATACCCTGTATCACTGCTAGAAACTAATGTGCAGAATAAATTCAACTTATCTTCAGTACATACAATCTTTCTTTACAGAGTTGTTTTATACCTTAAACAGCTATTATGATTAAAAAATATTTGAAAATAATGTGGTTTTTTGTGCTGTTGAAAAATTTAAAGTGCTTTGTTCTTCAATATCCATATTTAAAATCCAGATGGAATTATGCATACTTGGGTAAATTTGACCTTCTGCTAGCCATGCCCTACTCAGCAGGCAGGGAATCTGAGCCCCCCCAAAGAAATCAACTTCCCATTCTTGCTGGACCTTTTGAATTACTAGAGTTGAATATGCTGAGACTTGCATTGGGAACTAAATTTATTTTCTCACCATGGTTTGTAACAGGGATTTTTGAAAAGATGTTCATTCCAAGAAGCTGAAATTCTACGTCAGCTGTTTTCTTCATCATTCCCAGACTTATACCGCTTCAGCATTCAATCTCTGCAATGCAAGACTGAGATGTTGGAAGCCTTTGTGATTATGCAGAGTATTAATATGCTGCAGGGCCTTATCCCACCTAAGGTAAAGTAGTGTGGATTTTTTAATATTTACCTAATCTAATGGAGATAATTTTAAATTATGAGATTATGTAAAGAGGAGATTCTTTGATAACTTGGAATATAAATGAAGATGCATGTTAATAAGGAATACCTTATTTTTTTTTTAAGAAAATAATATCCAGGATGTCCCCTTTTCACATTGGGATGTGATGTTTAGCACTGACATGTAGCATGCATCAGACAGCAGTTTTCCTTCTGTTTTTTTTAGGTGGATTGTTATCAGATTATAAATTAGAACTTTAACAGATCAAATGCTGTAATGGGCGATTAAAACTGATATTTACAGAGTGCTTTTCTGTATTTTGTGGTCTACTTGATATTGATTCAGTCTCTTCATTGATGAATATATTAGTAAATTTAAACATGACTGAAGGCTTTTAACTTGATGTTACTAATGATTCTCAAGTAGAATTTTCAGGCTATTGAAAATAAAAACCTAACTCACTCCTTCAGGAGCAAGGAGGGGAATTGACTGCAAAATACTTGGAAAGGCTGTACGTCTTCTCTCTTATGTGGAGTGTAGGAGCATTACTAGAACTGGAAGACAGATGCAAAATGGAACACTGGCTTCGAAACCATGCAACAATAAAACTTGATCTCCCCTGTATCCCAGAAGGCAGTGAAGATACCATGTTTGATTATTATGTGGCATCTGATGGTTAGTAACCCAGCTGGTGGTATGAAGTAAAACTTAAAAGTAATTTTTAAAATGTGCTTCTTTTAGAGAATTAATTCGGATTTTTTTTTGTAGCTGACCTTCTTTTGTGTTCCTTTAGCAAGTTTTGTTTTACAGCTACACTTTACTGGTGATGTTGTAGAAACTTTCTTCCCTGTTTCCTGTGAGAAATGAGAATGTGGATATATTGTTACAGAAAGCTGCATGGTCTCTGTGCCGATGAATTGTCAACTGAACAAAATTAGACAAACTTGTCCTTGTCATAATTTATGTAGGAAAGAGGAGAAAGCCTCTTAGATCCAGCTTGAGAGATTCTATGATGATATGATTCTATAATTTTGGTCTGAATTTACAGAGTGGGATTACTGTATGTGAATCAGAGGTGCTGACAGATCAGTCAAATCAATGGAAAACAAAAGATGGGATGATGCCTTGTATTTCTAAAACATTAATTAATTTTTTACTTATTAGGTCAATGGATGCACTGGAATACACGTGTTAAAGAGTATGTATATCCCAGTAGCAGCACTCCAGAGTATGGAACCATTCTTGTGCCTAATGTTGACAATGTGAGGATGGATTTCCTTATTGAAATCATTGCAAAACAGGGCAAGGTACTTTTTCTGTATTTCACATCTAAATAGTGCTAACACTACACGTGATAAAGTTTTTGAATCAGAAATTAAATATTATACTTTTGAGAAGGAAAAAATTTCTTTTTTTTTTTTAATATAAAATGGTGATTCCGGGAGCTACATTCATGTAAATATGCTTGAACTCTTGAATACTCACTGCTTCAAGATTTTTTTGTCTTCGCTCACCCATCCTTTCTGCAGCAGAAATAACTGTAATTACAGCTGAGATCAGGTCAGACAGAAGCAATTCTTTCATGTAGCTGTTGGAGAGGGGGCAGCACACAGGGCAGCAGAGTGCCAGATTTTGCTGATATGAACTCTACCCACATAGGGCAGTTACAGAGTTTATGTACCTTTAGGTTATTCAACTCATTCTTCACCAAAACTGTGTCAGATAATCAGAATATGGTAAATAGCAACAGCAGTTAAAATATTTCAGATAATGAGGCTCTAGAAGGTACATCCTCTTTTAGAGAAACAATGCCTTTTATGAATAATTCATTCCTTTTTTAGTTAAATCGTGCTGACTGACATGACTGTTAACTGCATATACTTTTAACTTGTCAGGCCTGCAAAATTCTATGAGACTTAAACTATTTTGCTTCCACACGTCCCTTGTTGAGAATTCACTTTACATAGCTTTTCTAGTTTCATTTAAGTTCATAAGTTAAATGGGATTGCTGAGGCTTTGCCAAGACACCCAGTTCTTGTGTTTTGTCTTATGTTGTCTTATGTTGTCTTTGTCTAGGCTGTCCTACTAATTGGTGAGCAAGGAACTGCAAAGACTGTCATCATCAAAGGTTTTATGTCAAAGTATAACCCTGAAAGCCACATGGCTAAGAGTTTGAATTTTTCATCTGCAACTACGCCATTAATTTTCCAGGTATAGTAGTCATTCACTTTCTAGTACAATGTGATTGGCCTCAGAGATTGTTCTGAGAATTTGCCAGGAAGATGCTTCTGCAAGTGGTTTATTTAATTGAAAATTAGTGCAGAAACTAAAAAGCACCTGCTCAAAAGGACTGTGTCCTAACAAATGATTTAAAAGCCTTCTGAAAAACTATGTTCCCTTCAACTTATTTGGTAGTTATTGAGCTGTTCTTGGACTATTACAATATCATGCATATTATTTGTTTCATCAAATTTCATGTTTTTATGTCAAATGTATAATTCTCACTAATTGGGTAGAGCTGTCAGTGACTTCCCTCAGATTTCCCTAAAAGCCATGAGTAAAATAAGTGTTACCCACAACAGTCTGTCATAAAAAGTGTGCTGTCTGCAATTTAAATTTCAGTAAATTAAATTACTCATTAAAAAAGTAACACATGCAGTGCAGCTGCTCTGAATAGAACTATGAATACTTAAATCCTAAACTGTACAGCCTGTCCAAATTTCTACTGAGTTACTTTGAATTATTTTAAGTTTCTTTAACCTTCTGGCAATATATATGGGAAATATTTTTAATGTGGTTTGGTATGCCAAGCCAAAGTGCTGTCTGTGCTGTAATCAGAATTGCTGTCTGCAAGCCCGATGCCTCATCTATCATCTGCATTTATAGCATAGTAGAAACTATTAACATGTTTAATATACAAATATGTAATTTTGGTCTTATTTTCCTTAGTATTATTCCTTCTATTGATTAGACTATGTAAACAAAAAGTAGTGTTGGTACATCTATTTCTATAAAATAGATGTCAAGTTTATTGATCATCAAGATATCTTAAATAGATGTGCAAGTCTTAACAGTCAAATCTCTGATAACAGTCTAGACCAAAGCATTGTCTGTTACGACACATGCTTTAAAATTACTGACTTTTAAAATGTCAGTCTAACTGATGCCACTTGTGTAAGGGGGCATTCCAGGTTTCTGTACAGGAGCCTAGGCACAACATAAGAATGCAGGTATTTAGATTAACACTAAAGAATAGCTATGCATGGTTAAGAGAGCTGTCACTTGGTATAGAATAAATAAAAAATGGACCTTAAGAAGAATGGAGTAATGGAAAGATGATGGGAAGAAAAGTAGTGATAAGTCTACTAAAATTATTTCATCAAGTCTATGTATGTGAGTTTAATTATCACTGTATGCTTTTATGAATACATTGATGTCTGCTGGAAACATCTTCAAGAATCACATCTTTCGAATCTGACAGATTATTAGTTTAATCTTTATTGCTAGCAACCATGAATTTTGCTGATAAATAAAATGAAAGAAAAGTTCAGAATGGTTTCAACATTATGAAACGTTAGACATGGTTGTCTATGCTAGATATTTGTTCTATCTGATACTAACCTAATGCTGTATAGCATGAGATTTCAGACATTCTAGTTGAACCAGTACAGTTACTTCCATCAGATATGCTATCTAAACCTTCCTTAGTAAAATTCTGTATAACAAAATTATCAATATGTTTATCTGACTGAATCATGTATGAAATGAAGGGCTCTTTGTAATTATGCTAATAATTGTCTTTTAACAGCGTACAATAGAAAGTTATGTGGACAAGCGCATGGGCACAACTTACGGTCCACCTGCAGGCAAAAAGATGACAGTCTTCATTGATGATGTGAATATGCCCATAATAAATGAATGGGGAGATCAGGTTAGTTTGTAAAAGAGGAAAAAAGAAGGCAAAATATATTTTCTTTCTTTCTTTCCTTGCTGATTTCTCAATCTGATGGTAGGTGTTAAATTTCATATGTAGTGCTTAATTATTAAACAGTCTTTTTAAAGAACCCATCTAGTTTTATGTTGTCATGTATTAATTGAAAATAAATATATTGACTACAAGAAGCAGTTCAAATACTTCTTAAAACATGCCCGTATAGTTTTAACAATGTTTTTTACCGATGTTCATTTTTTAATTTAAAAAAAATGTAAAAAATTAATTAGAAAAAAACCTTTGGCACACAAATTGTGATAGCAAACTGGCTGTGTAAATGATAAGTAAAATACTGTGAATGCTGAGAGGTAAGAAGTGACTTCTCTGCTTTAAAAAATTTGAAGTAATCATGATGTACATTGGCAAGATTATTCTGAAGTATATTGCTTTGGAGACTAGTGTTAGAATTTCTAGAGAAGTATAGTCATATAATGTACTGTCTATAGGATGTTTTCAGCTCGTCAAACAGAAAATCAGGGGGTCCGTTTATGGCTAAGGAAAGGAATCTTACGTTCTTTTGTATGCCAGTAGTCTGTGTTTGCACCTTGGAAAAACATGCTTGTGATTTCTGCACATGGATTTCATCAAAGTACTTGGTAGCAAATGCAACATGTGGAGATGCATCATTTTTGGCTTGATTAGAAGAAACTGGAAATTTTTTTTTAAAAGGAAGAAGTATTTCCATACAACACTGTTGGAAATCATGCAGCATTCAAGCAAGAATGGAATGAAGTGTGAAGGATTAGTTCTAAACTAGGGATTCCCCTCTACTCCCAGGATTTTTGTCCATAGATACTACCAATGAAAAAGACAATCTAAATATGCTTATTGCTAGCAGTGCATTTTTCTCCAGAAGTATATAAGCAGAGGTTTTGGGGAGAAAATAATAGTGTAATCTTTATGAGGTCTTTCAAGTACATAAGTATGTTTTGTATTTTGTTTAGTTGAGTGTATAATATTCTGTTATATAATACCTGTTATATAATATATTATATATTATATAATATATTATATAATACCTGTTATATTATATAATACCTGTTATATAATATTATTTTACAGGTCACTAATGAGATAGTTAGGCAGCTGATGGAACAGAACGGACTGTACAACCTGGAAAAGCCTGGTGAATTTACCAACATTGTGGACATTCAGTTTTTGGCTGCCATGATCCACCCTGGGGGAGGTCGCAATGACATTCCACAGAGGCTCAAGAGACAATTTTCTGTGTTCAACTGTACTCTGCCTTCTAATTCTTCCATTGACAAAATTTTTGGTAAAGGGAAATTAGCTTTGTATCCATTCCATTTTTGAAAGTGGTAGTTGTTTTTTTCTTCATTCCTCTATTTGTAAACATTGTGATTACAATAGAGGCTTAATTCCCTTCTGATTTGCTTACCAGCATATTGTCCTTTGGTAATCAGTCCCCACCTGCAACTTCTTTTGTGGCCAGCAGGACTAGGGAAGTGATTGTTCCCATGTACTCAGCACTGGTGAGGCTTTACTTTGAATACCATGTTCAGTTTTAAGCCCCTCACTAAAAGAAAGATTTGAGGTCCTGGAACACATCAGAAGAGCAACAAAGCTGGTGAAGGCTTTAGAGCACGAGTTTTATGAGGAGTGGCTGAGGGAACTGGGATTGTTTAGTCTGGAAAAAAGGAGGCTGAGGGGAGACCTCATCACCCTCTACAACTGCCTGAAATGAGGTTGTAGCGAGGTGGGTGTTGGTCTCTTCTTCCACGTATCAAGCAATAGGACAAGAGGAAATGACTTCAGGTTGTGCCAGAGGAGGTTTAGATTGGATATTTGAAAAAATTTCTTCAGTGAAAGGGTTGTCAAGCATTGAAGCAGGCTGTCCAGGGAAGTGGTTGAGTCACCATCCCTGTTGGTATTTAGAAGATGTGTAGATGTGGTGCTTAGAGACATGGTTTAGTGTTGGACCTGGCAGTGCTAGATTAACAGTTGTACTTGATGATCTTGAAGGTCTTTTCTAACTTAAATGATTCTGTGGTTATCAATCTGTAAATTTTACAGGTCCCGTCATATCTCTGATTCTGTTGGTATGCTGTGTTAGGAAAAATGGCAAGAAGGCCATTCCTGGATTCAGTGACAATGCTGGAGAATAGCTAAGATGCTACTGATGCTAAGGATGAGTGACCTTTCACAAAGGACAGGATTTGTCTCAGATAAGAGATTAGTATTCAAAGGCTGTGGAAGCTATTTTGATAGAAAATATTTTTAACAGTTAATTAAGAGCTAAATAGTGAGCTAGTGGCAGAATGGTGTTAAGACCGGGTGAATCAAGATTTGAGTAAAGACTGGAAAGCCATTTCAACAGATTTGACAAGGTTTGGGGAATTAAAATAAGAAAAATAAGAATATTGTAGCTCTTGGTGTTGTGTTAGTATGTTTTAGAAAAATCTTTCATTTGGCATTTTTTTTTTTTCCACAGGTGTAATTGGAGAAGGGCACTATTGTGGTGAGCGGGGATTTTCAGAAGATGTGAAGAAAACAGTAGCCAAACTGGTTCCACTGACACGCAGGCTATGGCAGATTACCAAACTAAAAATGTTGCCCACACCAGCCAAATTCCATTATGTCTTCAACCTTCGAGATCTCTCAAGGATTTGGCAAGGAATGCTGAATAGTACATCAGAAGTGATCAATGAACCAAAGGTAAGTGCAGCACATCAGTGGCTTTGTGTATCATTATAGTGTAGCAAAGAAGATGAACAGTGTAATTTATTGGCAGTTGAGTTCACTTTAGAAAAATATAATTTCTGATTAAAAAAGTTTTCAGTGTTTGAGGCAAAGATGTTTTAGTCTAGCTTTTACAGTGCCAACTGAAATGACAATTTTGTTTCATAACTATTACAAGAAATGCTTCTTTTGACAGAAGAGGGTTTGCTTCTGTCTGCTTGTTCTATTGACACATGCTGGTTTGTTTGAAAGAAGAGAGCAAAGAAAATTATGAGAAGCAATGAACTTATTTTAACCCAGTGAAAACACGTACATATTGATTAGAAAAACAACTAATTCTTCTCTCTCCAATAGTGTCTTAAGGCTTTCAGTCACTGCCTAATATCTGAGTATAAAATGATTTCTGGTTTATGGTTTAAAATTAAAAAGTAGTAATGAGTAATACTGATTATTTTTTTTTTTTGATAATCCACCTTTCTTCCAGAAAAGCTCAATAATTTATGCATCACTTATCTTTTAATTTTTTTTAAGGAAAAGTCTTTTAGTGTTTTGAGCATGGAAACATGAAGTGCTGGAAAAGCAATGTTTATGGTAATCATGGAAAACTTATTATACATTTGCGTTATAGAATTACTTAATCTTTAATGTACTTCCCCACTTCTTGAATAAGCTCCTGAATTCTACTACATTTAAAATTTAAATTTTAGAATTGATTTTAATTTCTGAAGCTAAAAATATGCAGCACTAAGATGATTATATGTGTATATATATTCTCAATTAATGCCTTTTGAAGTATAGCAAACAGTTGCTCAAAATCTGATTGTATAAATTTACATATTAGTTTTGAGACTTGACATAGCATGTGTCATTTGTACAAAGTACTGTAAACTCAAACAAGGGGTCTTCAAGGAGTACTTCAAAGTTTTTCTACTATTGTGTAGTAATAGTGAAGGATAAAACCAGTGCTGATAGGATTAAGAATCTGACAGGTTTTCTTTCTCCATCCTATGACCAAACTGAAGGACTTTAAAGGTATATGGAATTTGTAGAAGGAATAATATAAACACTTATATGTGGTTTTTTCTTTAACTACTTTAAATATAGTATTGGGAGTGACATATGTGTTTGGCATGAAATTATTCATGCCATGATGCTATTATTTCCATGCACCTTCTACTTAATGACCAGTTAAAAAAGAGTTTTATCAGTGCATAAACATGTGTAAACAGGTATGAAAATAGGGAAATAAAAATCTTGATTTGGTAAACACTCTCTGGTTTGGAATGCTAGATTAAGCTTCTTGCACACTCAACTGAATGTAAATTTAAAATGCTCTTGAGCAGAATGAAAAGCTCAATGTATCTCTCCTGAATAACCCCCTAAATACTACTGTTTCTTTTCTAGTGTTAACATGATTTAAAAATAAATAAATAAAAGCAAGCATGACTTTTTAAATTGGCTTAGCTTTGTTACAAACTTAATCTGACTGAAATGCTGCTCTTTTTTTTTTTTTTTTTTTTTTTTTTTTTTTGCTGATCGTTTCACAACCTCAGAAGATGTAAACTGGTTTGATGCAGCTGTGGCAAAACTCATTGAGGAGGAATTTGATGAAGCAAAAGCTTTGCTGGATCCTGAAACTGATGCATTCTTTGTTGACTTCTTAAGGGATGCACCTCAAAGAACTGGTAAGGATGGACTCTGATAACCATGGAGATGGTTAGAAGAATAGGGAAAGGGAATATGGTAAAACAGATGCTAATAGAAATATGCCTTAAAAATGCATAGTAAGTCCATGCATCAAGGGTGGCTGTTCTGTCCAGTGACTTTGAAGGTAGTCTGTGTTACCAAGTGTGGCACATCTTCATATTCATGGGTTTTTAAAGTCTGTATTTATATTCAGGTTATCTGTATAGGAGAGCCTTGCTTCCATTTCCATTGTTGTTGTAGACAGACAAAACTGCCATAGTGAGCATTAGTCTATACTGTTCTAAAACGATGAAAGAATTGTGATATGAATGACTTGAAGTGATGGGGTTGCAGTATTAGGTAGAGGATATCACGCCAGCTACCATCCCCTAGAAACTGAAAGAATATTGGCTCTGGGCTAATCTAGCTCTTCTTAGGAAATACCCAGTACATGATTTTGTAACAAATGAGTATTATTTCAAAATCTCCTCAATGCTAGTAAAACCTCTTGAATTATCCATATGATTTATAACAATGTCTTTTAAATAAAAACACTGTCACTGACCTTGCTAAATGACCTGGGAATGTTTGATAGTTGATGCAAAAGAACAGAAAACAGTTGTTCGGGTTTTGGGGAAGGTCATTATTTAAGCCACTGGATGATTCAATTATCTGTGTTCATATCAGTGTAATGATGGGTAGTGGAGGCAATAAGAAGTTCGCATAAGTGGTCAAATGCCACTTAAATGTCTTCTTGGATAATTGAAGTAGTCAGAAGGCAGTAACAAAAGGAGACTAAACGATAGAATATGTTTGATTGGAAGGAATCAGATAGAAGTAAAAAGCAAACTGGTGTGAGAAAGTAGTCAATTACATTGTTAAATAACTTGCTAAACTGCAACAATGTGGAGAGGACTGAAATGTAAGTCAGAATGCATACTGAGAGAGTGAAGAGCGACTTTTAATGTGAACATTTTAATACACACCAGAAACCATTATATTGAACTGAAAAATAAATGCAAAAAGCAGCATGCATTTCTCAGATTAATTTGCTTCCTGGTGACAGTTTAAATGTACCTGCCCTGTAACCTTCCTTTTAGCATGAAACTTCATCTAAATACAAAGTAGGAGGCCCTCATTTAGAAATGCTATGTTTTGTCCTCAATATGTTTGTCAGAGCCTCAAGAACACCTTCCTGTTTTGGCTTTAAATGAAAAGAGTAACAAGTATAATTTTGTTTTAATTGTCCCTTTAAGGGAATTTAGTCTTGCCATTATGATGGAAGTGTAAGAACAGGAGCTGGTTTTCTGAGCTCTTAAGTATATCTAAAAAATACATCTGACATAAATTTCAAATAACCCTATGCTCAGGTTAGTGATATGTTTACATAGAGTCCCTGTATCTCTGGGTTGTACAGTCAACATATTTGTCCCTGAGATAAATACATGAAAACTTGAGATGATGTAGCTTAAACATCAGCTTTTGGATCTGAGCTTCACAGAAATTGTTAGTGGTGCTAGTGTTCTCGAGACCCTCAAACTGTTCAAAGGTGTTTTTTATCAGTTAGTTTTGACATTGCTGTTCGTACTTGTGATTCTGAATCTTTAATCTCAAGAGTTTAAAATTATATATTACACTAGCTGCCTCTGTAAATAATGTAAATGCCTGCCATTTCTTAGGTTTAGTATTTGATCATGCTGTCTTTTGACATTATTAATAACTTCAGGAAAAGGATTAAGCTGATATAATTCTCTTAAATAGTTCGAAACTCTCAAAACGTCACTACAATTTAACTCCTTGCTGTATTCCTTATTAGTTCCTTATCAGTAGCTGATGTTTAAATGTCTCATTCAACTTGTAAGAAACTTATTTTCACCTGGAATACTCCTTTTTTTTTAGCAGTGTCTCTGCAGGTTAAAATATGTTGGTTAATTTAATTAGGCCTTAATCTAAAGGAGAGTTCATATATGCAGAAATAATACAAACATTAAAAAGTTCTGAAATTAAGGGGACTTCAGACATACGCAGAATGCAATATAAAGGACAGCTGAATGAGAGTTAATTGTGACTTTATTTTGAGAGATTTGATTCTGTGGTAAAAGGCAATTTCCTTAAACTGTGGTTTTGTTTTGTTTTTTTTTATATATATATATGTGTGTATATATATATGCATATATGTATGTTTAGGTTTTAGTGGGTTTTGTTTTGTTTGTTTGCGGGCTTTGTTTTTGTCTTTTTTTTTTTTTTTTCCTGGAAGTTGTGTGATTATTGGACCACTGCTAATTTGTAAAAGCAAAATATGCAAGAAGGAAATGAAGAAAAAATTAGTGAGAAAAATATTATATAGTTTGATTGCTTTTTTCCCCCTTTTACTTCCTTTTCCACTGATTTCCAGTGCTTTATTAAGCATTAGGGAAATACTTATTTTACTGGAATTACTTGTTTCATTGCTTTTAATTCCACGAGTTAGAGATAATATTGTGAATAATGTATTTCTTTGGTAAATAAGAGGAGGCTTGGCAAAAATCAGTCAGTAACGACTGATTCACAGTAACTGAAAAAATATATCTGCAGCATATAGATCACGAAATCTTGAAACTAATGTAGCTAGTTGTATGTAAATAGGAGCGAAATTGTACTGTTTACTATTTTTTTTTCAGGAAAACCAAACCAACCAAAAAACCCCATGGTGTCTACTTGCTGGCACTCTTCCAATTAAGTTTGTCAATTATTTGCTGATAAAGTATGGACTGGATAAGCAGTGAGATGGACTGAAAATAGGCTGAACGGCCAAGCCCAGCGGGTAGTGATCTATGGCACAAAGTCTAGCTGGATGCCAGTAACTAGTGTTGCACCCCAGAGGTCAACACTGGATCCAGTTGTCCAGTTGTTCAGCACCTTTATTAGTCATTTGGATGATGGGGCAGAGTGTACCCTCAGCAAGTCCCCAGGTGGCACAAAATTGGGAGGAGTGGTTGATGTGCCCGGAGGGTTGTGATGCCATCCAGGGGGATACCAGAGAGAGTCCAACAAAGGGTCACAAAAGAGGACTAAAGGACTCTTCTAAGAGGAAAGTCTGAGAGAGCTGGGACTGTTCAGCCTGGAGAAGAGAAGGCTCAAGAAGATCTCCTCGATATGTATAAATACTTGGAGGGAGGGTACAAAGAAGGCAGAGCCAGGCTCTTTTCAATGGTGCCCAGTGACAAACCCAGAAGCAGTGAGCACAAATTGAAACACAGGAAGAGTTCATGAACTCTGAACTTGAGGAAACTCTTTTTTTACTGTGAGGGTGACTAAGCACTGGCACAGGTTGTCCAGAGCAGTTGTGGAGTCTCCCTCCTTGGAGAAATTACAAAAAAGAAACTACAGAAAATATTAATTGCAAGTTTTTACTGCAATATTTATTTACCATCATTCTTGGGTGCTACTTTTGCTTCTAGCATCTAAGTTAATTTCAGTTTTTCATTATTCAAGTTTTAAATGTAAAGAAAGAAGGCTCCTTAGTTTTTGCTGGCTTTGTCTTTCAGAATTAAGCAGCTGAATTTACCATTCCTTGTATAGGGTATAGGTAGCACTCTCATATATACATCTAATATGTAATATGTACAATAAAACTGGTTCTGGGTTGTTAAAGAGACTTCTAATTACCCTCACTTACTCATCCCCAGATTGATCCTTCGTCAATCATTTAAACTGCTAAGGTTTTGTTACTTGCTTTTTGTTCTAGGTGAAAAACCAGAGGAAGTTCATTTAGATATTCCCAAAATTTATGAGCCTATTTACTCCTTTCATCAGCTACGGAATCGTTTAAATATGTTTTTACAAGCATACAATGAGAATGTCCGTGGAACTGGAATGGACATGGTTTTCTTTGAGGATGCTATGATTCATTTAGTCAAGGTACAGTCTTATTGGATTGCCATTTGTTGTTGTTGTTCACTTGCCCCCAGCACCTATGAGTGGACGTATGCATGAATCAAGGTAAATTACTTCTAAAACTAAAGCAAGTAATGTATTGCTAGCAAATATTTTGTCTGTCACTCTGTGACTAGGTGTTAAAACTCCACTTTTCTGAAAATGGATTGTAGTGGATGTAACTACTCTTTTATATCTACTTTTATGTCTGCTGGGATCATGGTCATAACTATTCTATTTCAACCTTTTTCTTGTTAATTCGCTGAGAGCCCTTCCTGTCTTTGGAATGAGTCAAATAAAATTCAGATTAGGACATGATTTTTTGTTTATGAAGGAGTAGGCACAGCAGAGAAGGAATAAATGTAGTCCAAACTTCCTTTGTAGATCCACAGTATGCTCACTTCTATTAAAATTATTTTGAATATGGATTGGAGCTGACCATAATTTCTAGTACACCACAGCTTGATAGCATTGTCCACACAGGCTTCATACAAAGGAGAACTTTTTTTTTTTTTTTTTAAACTAAAACCCCTATTGTTTCTCAGTTGCACAGTAAGATTAGCTGTATTTCTTATCATAAATTATTAAGAAGTGAATATTGGATTGTACCATCCTAACAAATAGTATAATAAATATCAAAACAATTTAAATTTAGTTATAGTTGTCATACACATTGCATCTGCAGATTTCAAAATTTTGGGGTGGATTCTTGTCATTTCACAAAATTAATCCCTTTCCTTTAAGGTCTTCCCTGAAAAGGATGGATGATATTCTGCTATAGATTTCTTTAGGAAAATTGTTAAATCATCATGACACTCACTAGCAAGTTTGTGGTTTATTCCCAGTAAAAAAATCTATTTAAATTCAGGATCTAGCAAAAAAATACTTTTTTTTTTTTTTTTTTTTTTTT